GACATAGAAAAAGAAGCATAGATACAAAGAGCAACTGTCAACCAGCTCCACAGGCGGCCCCGTCCAGGAAACACACAGCCAGGCAGACGAGCTCCGAGCCAGCTCCCATGTCAGAGGATGAAGAGAGCACATCCAGTTAGTCACAGTCAGAGAAACAGGACTACACTGGAAAACAGGCCAAGCTCCAACATCTAGAAACAAAGGTGTTGATGGCAGCAGCACATCTAGATATTTCTCTCCAGGATGGAGTCACAGCCAAACAGGAACAGACCAGATGAAGCTACTATGAGAAAAAGCAGAGAGAGCAGAACGTTAGAGATTGAACTAACAGATTCTGCAGAGTGGGAGAATAGAGATAGAATGAAGCAGAATGATGAAAAAGGGGTCCCTATGTCCTCCAGCAGTCTAAGCCTATAGCAGCAGAACTATAGAGATAGCTCAGGATAACCTGAGCCACTCTAACTAGAAGCTTTATCAAAAAGGAAAGTTTTAAGTTGCCCCTGGTGAGAGGCGCAGAGCAGGGGTGGGCATTCTTGTTGCCCCTCATCTTGGTGCCTGTACGCTGGGGTTCACCCCGGTGAGTGAGAGGGTTGCCTCCCTCTGCATACGTGTGGGGGGATGGGTTCTGACTGTTGTTTGCTCTTATGCACCAAACAGCAGTTCAGATTACCCACACTTTTTGGAGTTTTTAGAGGGGGTACTGGAGAGTGGCCCTCCTGGGGACTCCCTTGTTCTTCTGGGGGACTTCAACGCTCATGTGGGCAATGACAGTGAGACCTGGTGAGGCGTGGTTGGAAGGAATGGCCCACCTGACCTGAACTCGAGCGTTGTTCTGTTGTTGGACTTCTGTGCTCGTCATGGATTGTCCATAATGGACACCATGTTCAAGCATGAGGGTGTCCATATGGGCTCTTGGCACCAGGACTCCCTAGGTCGTAGATCAATGACCAACCTTGTTGTTGTATCATCTGATCTGCGGCCGCATGTGTTGGACACTCGGGTGAAGAGAGGGGCGGAGCTCTCCACCGACCACTACCTGGTGGTGAGTTTGCTCCAATGGTGGGGGAGGACGCTGGTCAGACGTGGTAGGACCAAACGTATTGTGAGGGTTTGCTGGAAATGTCTGCAGAGTCCCCCATGAGAAGGAGCTTTAACTCCCATCTCCGGCAGAGCTTTGAACACGTTCCGAGGGAGGTGGTGGACATTGAGTCTGAGTGGACCATGTTCCGTGCCTCTGTTGTTGAGGCTGCTAGTCGGAGCTGTGGCTGCAAAACAGTTAATACCTACAACTCTTTTGAACATTTAACCCTTAGTTCTGTTCCAAATTTCAAGAAGCAAGAAAACCCCCTTTTTTTTTTTTACTTTGTGTCGTCCACCAGGTCCTTACCTGGAGCAATATTTACTCTGCAGTTTCCTAGCATTTTGCTTCAAAGTACGCAGCTCTGCATTAAACCAAGGAGCCAGCTTTCTATTTTTAACAGTTTTCATTTTCAAAGGAGCTGCGTTGTCTAAGGCAATACGCAGAGAACTAGCAACCCCATCAACAACATCATCAACCTGTGAAGGAGAATAAACTAAGCTTTAGCACTCTGCAGCACTGCTCAGCGACACAGAGGAGAGAGAAAGTGAAGCAGATTCTTTAAAATGTATAACTGCACTATCTGATAAAGATCTACTGAAGTGGAACCTTCTTTTAGGGGAGGAGAACTCTGTTAAAGTAATCCTGAAGGTTATTAGAAAGTGTCTCAGTATCTGAGGTGTCAGTTTAGATTCCTGTTGTGTGGACCAGCCTTTAATGACATAAAAACGGTTTAACTGCCATTATGGGAAATCTGAGACTCTGCTATCAAACAAGTTTTCCTTTTTCACTCCCATAATTCATTGCTGAGATAAATAGAAATCTGTTTAAAATGAAGAGAAAATAAAGGTAATAACAGTCAGATGGTCGCCGACTAACGGCAACTGGAGGCTCTGCTTGGATTGGTCACAAAGTTTAGAGCAAACTTTGTTCCTCTTGGCTTATTGTAAATAAATCCAGGTGCATTTCAAAATCCATCTTCCTTGTTGTGTTTGTAAGACTTTATATCAATAAGTTTGCTTTATAAAATGCAATGTTTCAATATAATTATAAATGCTTGCTATACACCATAAATATCTTGTTATAGCTTCTGTTAATAAAACAAATCTTAAAAAAATAAAATAAATGTACATTTGGTTACTGAGGTGAATAAAGAGGTTCTGCTGATGGAAGAAATTTTCAGATGAAAGTCGGAAACATTCGCTGTAATTCTCTGTGGCGCGTTACTTAAACTCTGAGGGGATTATCACCAAGCAGATGAGTAATCCACAGCGGGTTTATGCTCCGGCATAATCCATAATCCCACCGTTACAGAGCGGCGCATTCATTCTGCTTGGGGGGGGGGGGGGGGGGGGGGGGGGGGGGGGAATGCAGACAGAATGTCTCTGATTTTCCACAAATCACAGTTTTTTAATTGTAGTCATGAAAAACAAGCGGCTAGCGAAACACAGCTAGAAGAAGAAGCAGAGCTGCTTACGCTATACACTGTAAAAAAAATAAAGAAAAACAGAATTTTACTGTTTCCACTTTTTTCTGTATTCTTAAAATAGCATTTAATTAGCAGACTGACTTTATAATAATTATGTTCCGGGGATAAACATACATTTACACCATTTAATTGTTTAAAAAATGTCAAACTATTTTATTAATGGAAAATAACCGTATTTTTATTAGAAACTCATTTTCTGTTATTTCATGGGGTTTCCGCGGCGCCCCAGCTGGCAGAAAATAACCGTTTTCTTTTTACAGTGTAGATGAAAATGAGCAGTTTGATTCTTTAGCAGGAGGTGAAAGACCACAGACTGATGCTTCTGCTTAAATATGTCTATAGATCCTGAATGCAGAAGTTCTTTCTGCAGTCAGCAAATCATCTTGCATATCAAGGTTATGATTCTAATTTATTTTAAGAGGCTCCAACAAAACATATGATGTATGAACAATATTTCCAAAAAATAAAGTTTATATTCAAAATCTTAACAGAGACTTAATGATCCGTCTTTATTAATCTCTTGTTGACAAAACAGGAACACGTTAATATTTAATCAGTCATACAGGGACGGCGGTCAGGATCAGTTTCCATCATCAACCACAGCTGAAGGACTCAGCGGTTGCCTTGGAGACGGTTATCGTCAGATTTTAACGACACCAAACAGTCATTGTGAAAACGTTGATGAAAACAAGAACTTACATCTGATTTCCAGCTTAAATCTTTATCTGTGTAAAAAGAGAAAAACCTGTTTGTGAAGCAGCTTTAATCTGGTTGCTTTAAACTGGAGGAAACTGGAATCACCAACTGATCTGGGATCAGTCAGAACTTTGGTTCTCTGGAAAACACGAATACAGACGACTTGTTCGGATCAGATCCGACATTCAGACAATAAGTCCGATTCTTTCTGTGAGATTTTCTAACAAGAGGATCCATTCGGCGCCCTGAGGCTGCGTCAAACACATGATCAGCCAATCAGAGGTCAGGCTTAATGCCCCATGAGGCTGCATCAAACACATGATCAGCCAATCAGAGGTCAGGCTTAATGATGCTGAAGAGTCTCTGAGTAGAAACTGATCAACCAGTAACCTCCTTGGTCCTGAAACTTCATCTTATTTGAAGAGCTGTGTGGTTAGTTACACAGCGCAGGCCGGGCAGGGATTAGATCCACTGGGTGAAAGTCACTGATCAGTCAGATCTAAGTAGCAACAGGAAGCATCATCAGTCAGAGGTTAACTCTAACCCAGACTGAAAGGTCTGCTGCCCTCTGGGAGGAGGCTTCCCAGCATTCAATGCAGGTTCTGCAGCAGCTTCTTCCCCGCCGCCATCAGACTGATGAGAAAACTCTAAATCATCTCACTGATGACACCAGAACTAGTTACTGCAGATTTGCAGCATAGATCTTAATGCTCTGAACTTCCAGATAACTGCGTTTTCCCCGAGTTCTTTACATTTGATCCCTGCTGCACTTTAAAGAATGGAACTGTTATGGAAGCTGTACAAAACTAAATGTTGTTTTGTAAAAACTCTCATAATGTTTTCTACGCTCCTGAACGCTAGAAGCTTCCTATCCTTCTAGAAATGGATCTCCTAGAAGTCCTTTCCACTGCTAGGAGATGCACTACCACCGTGGCTAAAGTATCCTTCATTATTTGACTTATTCTGATCAAGCCAGAATTCAGCTGCACTGGTTCCTGGAGGGGCGGGGCTTTCAATTCTATTCACTTTATTTCTATAGCTCCAATCCACATCATGTCACTTTACAGATCCAGATCAACCAGATCATCCCATCACATTAAAGGTTCAAAGTTTTCTATCTAATGAAAACCAGCTGATTGCATCGACTCATTGACTCTTCAGCAATCCCTCACACTAAGCATGCTTGTAGCGACAGTGGAGAGGAAAAACTCCCTTTGAACAGGAAGAAACCTCCAGCAGAACCAGGCTCAGTGTGAGCGGCCATCTGCTGAGGCCCACTGGGGTTCAAGGAGACAGAAGCAGACATAGAAAAAGAACTTTCTATGTTAGAAACGCTATTGGTAAACCCTAACCAGACAGGTGGCTCTGTCTAGTTAGGTCCAGTTTTTATGTCAACGAATGAAAGAGAGAAGATCCAGTTAGACCCAGTAGAAGCTGAGCCCAGAGCTATAGGAGAGAAACAGGACTGAACACTGAAAAACACACCTTCCATCAGTGTTATCGGTCGTCTGCATGCCTGAATAGAGCCATGCAACGCTGCAGTTACTGTGGAGCATATCCAAAGACGATGCTAAACGCCTCAGAGATGGTGGTTGGTTTCCATAACCCTCACAGACCCGGCGGACCAAAGCTCACTAGTTGAAGGGAGGATCCAGAGCACATCTTCAGCATCTAGCTGCGAGGATCTACTGAGGTCAGAACCTTGAATTCAAACTATAGTCAGTGGAAGAAAAAGGCAGATTTTAGGCCTCAAAGTTTATTCAGTGTTGGATCCAACGACAATGGTCCAATTGAGAGGATTAACAAACACTCTGAGGGTCTCTGGTTCTGAACAGACATGAAGGCACTTTGAAGGTTTCTCTCATTAGTGAACCTGATTCAGACCTAAAGAGACTAAAGTATATGTGAGGTTCTACCAGGACCAGCAGAGGAGAGCAGAGACCTTTTCTTCACTGAGACCTGGTTGGGTCTCAGTGGAGAATGGGTTCTGCTGCTTCCCATCTGGATCAAAACCTTCAGCCTCTCATCCAGAACTGTGCAAAGATCCACCAACAGAGACTCTGTCTTCAGGCTCTGATCCACATTAATAAAAGAACCAAACCGGGCCTGGCGGGTCAGAACAAACGGCAGGAGGAGCATCATGAGGAACATGAAGCGGACATCTTTACTCTCCAGGAGGAGACGGAAGGTCGCCATGGCAACAGGTTGTCACAGAGACCAGACTTTATGCATAAAACTCCTTGGTGGGAGCTTTCTGATAGGCTGCTCCAGAAGCCTTCCTCTCTCCCAAGTCGTAGCTGCCTTCATCCTTCTTCCGCATTCTGTACACCAGCAGGAGGATGAGGAAGATGGCAAACAGGAAGCCGATCACGCCGCCTGCAATAACAGCTGAGAGGGATGGGTCAAAGTTCAAACTGGTGTCATGAACAGAGACTTCACGTGTGGACGGGTCAGAACTCGGACACCAACCTGCCAACACCTCCGTCCTCTGGAAAAGGGTTTCAGTTCGAACTTCAACGGTTTCCAGAGCAGAACCAGGAGATCTGGTGCTACTGGTCAACTGGTTCTGGTCCTCTGTGGCTGGAAGTGGATCCTGTGGGAGGAAGAAATTGAGATGATGAGAAGCAGGCAGGCGGCTCTCAGTCTGCATGTAGAGCAACAACCCATTAATCCACTTTATGGGGAATGAAGGATTTATTTTAGTCATGAGCTCCAAGTGTTTAAATCAGAGGAAATCAGTTGGATCTATTTATTTCCCTCAGAGACGACGATGATGATGATGATGATGATGATGATGATGATGATGATGACGATGATGACGATGATGATGCTCCATCTGATCATCTGTCTCCAAGTCTACAGACGAAGGTTTAGTTCCACCGTGTTCTAAGCTCTAACCTCCGTCTTCGCGGCCTTTCCCTCCACGCCGGGCTCCACGCTTGGAGTGAAGAACTTGGTGGCGTCCTTGGTGGGTTCTGCTGCTCTGGGATCGATATAAACCCTGCTGACCGTCATCGTCTCCTCCAGCTTCTCTTCTTCTCCACCTAAGAGGAAAGAGCAGAGAAACTTTCACCGCGCTGTTTCCACTGATCTGATCCATCTCTGAACAGCCATTAAGACGACATGGAAACATTTCTGGAAGAGAAAACCGCGTCCTAACGACTCTTCAAAGCCTTTGGGATGGAGCTCCAAATCCTTCCTTCATCAGATGTTTCTACAGCTCAAACTGAGGGAACTTCAGCTGAGCAGACATGATGAGGACAGCTGTCTGTGGAACAGGAACATCTGCAGACCTCAGAGACACGATGGTCCAAAGAACCTAATCTGAGGAAGGATAAAAAACTTCCCAGACACCTTCATGATTCAGGAAAGGAAGAAGTTTGGAACCAGCAGGAGAGCCGGAAATCCAAACTGACTGATCGGGATAAAAAGGCCTTGGAGAAAAACCAAAGAACCCCATGACCTCCGTCGGTTCTGCAGCGTTCCTCTGTGGAGAGAGGAGAACCCTGCAGAAGGACAACCAGCCAATCAGGACTGGAAGGCAGAGCAGAGTCCAGACTGGATCCAGTGGGATCCACCAGATGGAAAATGGTCTAAACCGTCTAAACATGGTGGATAAAGGTGCAGCAGAGGCTGTGGAAACATTCTGGATAAACTCCTTCCAGAAAATACCAAGAAACTGAACAAGAAAAGGAGGAAAGGTGTGTTTACCTGAGCCGGAGGCGGAGCTAAAGTCATCATCGTCTTCTGGGTAGAAACCGCCTGATCCGTCATCATCCAGGAACAAGTCGTCTCTCTGAGAGGAGCTGCTGGCTGCTGCCGCCGACTGGAAAAGGTAGAACGTTAAAACCATCTAAGAAACCCACGCATGAAGATCTACGTTCCTCAGCTCAATCAGACTAAAGTCAGGGTTAGGGTTACCAGAGGAAGAACGTTTTAAATTTAGCATCAAGCTTCAGCTAGAAAACAGCAACCAGGATCTAGATCTGCACCCAGAGCTGAACCTTCAGAGGCTCAAAGAGACAGAAACTCAGCGGACCTTCTAGCACCTCACTAGAACTATAGAAAGTAGATCAGACAGCTGATCCAGACGCTGCTGCCTGCGTCCTCACTAGAACTATAGAAAGTAGATCAGACAGCTGATCCAGATGCTGCTGCCTGCGTCCTCACTAGAACTATAGAAAGTAGATCAGACAGCTGATCCAGATGCTGCTGCCTGCGTCCTCACTAGAACTATAGAAAGTAGATCAGACAGCTGATCCAGACGCTGCTGCCTGCGTCCTCACTAGAACTATAGAAAGTAGATCAGACAGCTGATCCAGATGCTGCTGCCTGCGTCCTCACTAGAACTATAGAAAGTAGATCAGACAGCTGATCCAGACGCTGCTGCCTGCGTCCTCACTAGAACTATAGAAAGTAGATCAGACAGCTGATCCAGACGCTGCTGCCTGCGTCCTCACTAGAACTATAGAAAGTAGATCAGACAGCTGATCCAGACGCTGCTGCCTGCGTCCTCACTAGAACTATAGAAAGTAGATCAGACAGCTGATCCAGACGCTGCTGCCTGCGTCCTCACTAGAACTATAGAAAGTAGATCAGACAGCTGATCCAGACGCTGCTGCCTGCGTCCTCACTAGAACTATAGAAAGTAGATCAGACAGCTGATCCAGACGCTGCTGCCTGCGTCCTCACTAGAACTATAGAAAGTAGATCAGACAGCTGATCCAGACGCTGCTGCCTGCGTCCTCACTAGAACTATAGAAAGTAGATCAGACAGCTGATCCAGACGCTGCTGCCTGCGTCCTCACTAGAACTATAGAAAGTAGATCAGACAGCTGATCCAGACGCTGCTGCCTGCGTCCTCACTAGAACTATAGAAAGTAGATCAGACAGCTGATCCAGACGCTGCTGCCTGCGTCCTCACTAGAACTATAGAAAGTAGATCAGACAGCTGATCCAGACGCTGCTGCCTGCGTCCTCACTAGAACTATAGAAAGTAGATCAGACGGCTGATCCAGACGCTGCTGCCTGCGTCCTCACTAGAACTATAGAAAGTAGATCAGACAGCTGATCCAGACGCTGCTGCCTGCGTCCTCACTAGAACTATAGAAAGTAGATCAGACAGCTGATCCAGACGCTGCTGCCTGCGTCCTCACTAGAACTATAGAAAGTAGATCAGACAGCTGATCCAGACGCTGCTGCCTGCGTCCTCACTAGAACTATAGAAAGTAGATCAGACAGCTGATCCAGACGCTGCTGCCTGCGTCCTCACTAGAACTATAGAAAGTAGATCAGACAGCTGATCCAGACGCTGCTGCCTGCGTCCTCACTAGAACTATAGAAAGTAGATCAGACAGCTGATCCAGACGCTGCTGCCTGCGTCCTCACTAGAACTATAGAAAGTAGATCAGACAGCTGATCCAGACGCTGCTGCCTGCGTCCTCACTAGAACTATAGAAAGTAGATCAGACAGCTGATCCAGACGCTGCTGCCTGCGTCCTCACTAGAACTATAGAAAGTAGATCAGACAGCTGATCCAGACGCTGCTGCCTGCGTCCTCACTAGAACTATAGAAAGTAGATCAGACAGCTGATCCAGACGCTGCTGCCTGCGTCCTCACTAGAACTATAGAAAGTAGATCAGACAGCTGATCCAGACGCTGCTGCCTGCGTCCTCACTAGAACTATAGAAAGTAGATCAGACAGCTGATCCAGACGCTGCTGCCTGCGTCCTCACTAGAACTATAGAAAGTAGATCAGACAGCTGATCCAGACGCTGCTGCCTGCGTCCTCACTAGAACTATAGAAAGTAGATCAGACAGCTGATCCAGACGCTGCTGCCTGCGTCCTCACTAGAACTATAGAAAGTAGCTCCTGATTGGCCGCCTGAAAGAAGGAGCTCCTGATTGGCCGCCTGAAAGAAGGAGCTCCTGATTGGCCGCCTGAAAGAAGGAGCTCCTGATTGGCCGCCTGATAGAAGGAGCTCCTGATTGGCCGCCTGAAAGAAGGAGCTCCTGATTGGCCGCCTGATAGAAGGAGCTGAGGTCCATCTTCCTAATGGTGAAAAGCTTTTCCTGGAAGAACCAGGAAGTCTGAAGCTGCAGTTTATTTGACACCAACAGCATCAAACTGATCCAGATGTTAAACAGTCAGATTTAAATGACCAATCAGCTAGCGGCTGATTTGCTCTCAGCTGCAAGGATCCATTGTTGTAGTTCTTTTCCTGAAGGCTGTAGTCCTAAGAGTCCAGAATAAATCTGGTTGGAGGAGGAGGAGGAGGAGGAGGAGGAGGAGGAGGAGGAGGAGGAGGAGGAGGAGGAGGAGGAGGAAGGGCGCTGAGGCAGCAGGTGGCGATCTCTGATCCCATTACCAGAACTAATCCCTGTGGGTCACTCCGGGTCGCACGGTCCAATCGGACCCAGGAGCTGCTGCTTGTTGTGAAAACCTTCAGGCAGCAGAACCTGAATATGGCTCAGAGTTACCAGAACCGGTCCAGAACCAGCTGGCCGTCCTCCATCCTACAGAACCGTCCAGAACCAGCTCGCCGCCCTCCATCCTACAGAACCGGTCCAGAACCAGCTGGCCGTCCTCCATCCTACAGAACCGGTCCAGAACCAGCTGGCGGCCCTCCATCCTACAGAACCGGTCCAGAACCAGCTGGCCGTCCTCCATCCTACAGAACCGGTCCAGAACCAGCTGGCGGTCCTCCATCCTACAGAACCGGTCCAGAACCAGCTGGCCGTCCTCCATCCTACAGAACCGGTCCAGAACCAGCTGGCGGCCCTCCATCCTACAGAACCGGTCCAGAACCAGCTGGCCGCCCTCCATTCTACAGAACCGGTCCAGAACCAGCTGGCCGTCCTCCATCCTACAGAACCGGTCCAGAACCAGCTGGCCGTCCTCCATCCTACAGAACCGGTCCAGAACCAGCTGGCCGTCCTCCATCCTACAGAACCGGTCCAGAACCAGCTCGCCGTCCTCCATCCTACAGAACCGGTCCAGAACCAGCTGGCCGCCCTCCATTCTACAGAACCGGTCCAGAACCAGCTCGCCGTCCTCCATCCTACAGAACCGGTCCAGAACCAGCTGGCCGTCCTCCATTCTACAGAACCGGTCCAGAACCAGCTGGCCGTCCTCCATTTTACAGAACCAGTCCAGAACCAGCTGGCCGTCCTCCATTTTACAGAACCGTCCAGAACCAGCTGGCCGTCCTCCATTCTACAGAACCGGTCCAGAACCAGCTCGCCGCCCTCCATTCTACAGAACCGGTCCAGAACCAGCTGGCCGTCCTCCATCCTACAGAACCGGTCCAGAACCAGCTGGCCGTCCTCCATCCTACAGAACCGGTCCAGAACCAGCTCGCCGTCCTCCATCCTACAGAACCGGTCCAGAACCAGCTGGCGGCCCTCCATTCTACAGAACCGGTCCAGAACCAGCTGGCCGCCCTCCATTCTACAGAACCGGTCCAGAACCAGCTGGCCGCCCTCCATCCTACAGAACCGGTCCAGAACCAGCTGGCGGCCCTCCATCCTACAGAACCGGTCCAGAACCAGCTCGCTGCCCTCCATCCTACAGAACCGGTCCAGAACCAGCTGGCCGTCCTCCATCCTACAGAACCGGTCCAGAACCAGCTCGCCGTGCTCCATCCTACAGAACCGGTCCAGAACCAGCTGGCCGTCCTCCATCCTACAGAACCGGTCCAGAACCAGCTCGCTGCCCTCCATTCTACAGAACCGGTCCAGAACCAGCTGGCCGTCCTCCATTCTACAGAACCGGTCCAGAACCAGCTGGCCGTGCTCCATCCTACAGAACCGGTCCAGAACCAGCTGGCCGTCCTCCATCCTACAGAACCGGTCCAGAACCAGCTGGCCGCCCTCCATCCTACAGAACCGGTCCAGAACCAGCTGGCCGTCCTCCATTCTACAGAACCGGTCCAGAACCAGCTCGCCGCCCTCCATCCTACAGAACCGGTCCAGAACGAGCTGGCCGTCCTCCATTCTACAGAACCGGTCCAGAACCAGCTCGCCGTCCTCCATTTTACAGAACCGTCCAGAACCAGCTGGCCGTCCTCCATTCTACAGAACCGGTCCAGAACCAGCTGGCCGTCCTCCATTTTACAGAACCAGTCCAGAACCAGCTGGCCGTCCTCCATTTTACAGAACCGTCCAGAACCAGCTCGCCGTCCTCCATTTTACAGAACCGGTCCAGAACCAGCTGAGTGTCCTCCATTCTACAGAACCGGTCCAGAACCAGCTCGCCGCCCTCCATTCTACAGAACCGGTCCAGAACCAGCTGGCCGTCCTCCATCCTACAGAACCGGTCCAGAACCAGCTGGCCGTCCTCCATCCTACAGAACCGGTCCAGAACCAGCTCGCCGTCCTCCATCCTACAGAACCGTCCAGAACCAGCTGGCCGCCCTCCATCCTACAGAACCGGTCCAGAACCAGCTGGCGGCCCTCCATTCTACAGAACCGGTCCAGAACCAGCTGGCCGCCCTCCATCCTACAGAACCGGTCCAGAACCAGCTGGCCGCCCTCCATTCTACAGAACCGGTCCAGAACCAGCTGGCGGCCCTCCATTCTACAGAACCGGTCCAGAACCAGCTGGCCGCCCTCCATCCCACAGAACCGGTCCAGAACCAGCTGGCGGCCCTCCATCCTACAGAACCGGTCCAGAACCAGCTCGCTGCCCTCCATCCTACAGAACCGGTCCAGAACCAGCTGGCCGTCCTCCATCCTACAGAACCGGTCCAGAACCAGCTCGCCGCCCTCCATTCTACAGAACCGGTCCAGAACCAGCTGGCCGTCCTCCATTCTACAGAACCGGTCCAGAACCAGCTGGCCGTCCTCCATCCTACAGAACCGGTCCAGAACCAGCTGGCCGTCCTCCATCCTACAGAACCGGTCCAGAACCAGCTGGCCGCCCTCCATCCTACAGAACCGGTCCAGAACCAGCTCGCCGCCCTCCATCCTACAGAACCGGTCCAGAAACAGCTCGCCGTCCTCCATCCTACAGAACCGGTCCAGCACCAGCTCGCCGTCCTCCATTCTACAGAACCGGTCCAGAACCAGCTGGCCGACCTCCATCCTACAGAACCGGTCCAGAACCAGCTGGCCGCCCTCCATTCTACAGAACCGGACCAGAACCAGCTGGCCACCCTCCATCCTACAGAACCGGTCCAGAACCGGCTCGCTGTCCTGCATCATACAGAACTGGTTCTGTAGAACATTTTTGGACCTGTTCTTCAGACAAAGCTGTCGGGTCGGGTCTGGACCAACTTCAGCTGATGATGAAGAGAGTTCTGTTTGGTCTGGTTGGGTCCAGAACCCCTTGCTGGGACCCGGGCCTCCGGCTGCAGCCTTCAGTCGGGCCTCAGTGTGAATATCAATGAGAAGCTGCTGGTTCTGGTCCAAAGCCACCTCAGCGCCTCCCTGAGGGGCCCACTGCTTTACATGCAGCCTGTCCTCAGCGAGCTGTCTGGATCCCCTCCCCCACATGTTGCTGTGACCTCATCCTTCAGATGGAATAAGCTCTGCTCTTCATCATGACTCTTCCTCTGTGTTCAGCTCTCTGCTCCATCTCAGAGTTTCTCTCTTCTGTGGATAAAGGTGGGAGAAGGTCACATGGTCCCATCACCATTTAGCCCCGCCCCCAACATGCCATGGAGCTGTTTGGTGAGTTTCAGTTCAGAGAAAGAAAATTATTCAAATGTAAAAAGGAAAAGGGTTTTTGATCCAAAATCTAGTTTGATCAGGACTTGATCAGTGAGTCCGCTAAACTCTGGTCTCCATCGCCTCTTCCTCCTCGGTCTGCGGCGGTCTGCGGCGGTCCGCTCCGTCCGTCCGTCCCATTGTTAGACCAGATGTTGAAAAGAATGCAGGAATAGAAACCAATGAGTTCAGAAACTAGAAGTTGAACAACATGAAACGTAACTAACAGAACTATAGAAAACAGCTGCCACCATCAGAGCAACCCTAATCTGACCTAATCTAATCAAACTGGATCTAACCTAATCTAACTGGATCTAATCTAACTGGATCTAACCTAACTGGATCTAGTCTAACTGCATCTAACCTAACTGGATCTAACCTAACTGGATCTAGTCTAACTGCATCTAATCTAATCTGACCTAATCTAACTGGATCTAACCTAACTGGATCTAATCTAACTGGATCTAGTCTAACTGGATCTAACCTAACTGGATCTAATCTAACTGGATCTAACCTAACTGGATCTAACCTAACTGGATCTAACCTAACTGGATCTAACCTAACTGGATCTAGTCTAACTGCATCTAATCTAATCTGACCTAATCTAACTGGATCTAACCTAACTGGATCTAATCTAACTGGATCTAGTCTAACTGCATCTAATCTAATCTGACCTAATCTAACTGGATCTAACCTAACTGGATCTAATCTAACTGGATCTAACCTAACTGGATCTAACCTAACCGGATCTAATCTAACTAGATCTAATCTAACTGGACCTAATCTAACTGGATCTAATCTAACTGGATCTAATCTAACTGGATCTAACCTAACTGGATCTAATCTAACTGGATCTAACCTAACTGGATCTAACCTAACTGGATCTAACCTAACTGGATCTAATCTAACTGGATCTAACCTAACTGGATCTAACCTAACCGGATCTAATCTAACTAGATCTAATCTAACTGGATCTAATCTAACTGGATCTAACCTAACTGGATCTAACCTAACTAGATCTAACCTAACCGGATCTAATCTAACTAGATCTAATCTAACTGGATCTAACCTAACTGGATCTAACTTAACTGGATCTAACCTAACTGGATCTAATCTAACTGGATCTAATCTAACTGGATCTAATCTAACTGGATCTAATATAACTGGATCTAACCTAACTGGATCTAATCTAACTGGATCTAATCTAACTGGATCTAACCTAACTGGATCTAATCTAACTGGATCTAATCTAACTGGATCTAACCTAACTGGATCTAATCTAACTGGATCTAACCTAACTGGATCTAACCTAACTGGATCTAATCTAACTGGATCTAACCTAACTGGATCTAATCTAACTGGATCTAACCTAACTGGATCTAATCTAACTGGATCTAACCTAACTGGATCTAGCCTAACTGGATCTAATCTAACTGGATCTAACCTAACTGGATCTAATCTAACTGGATCTAACCTAACTGGATCTAATCTAACTGGATCTAATCTAACTGGATCTAACCTAACTGGATCTAATCTAACTGGATCTAACCTAACTGGATCTAATCTAACTGGATCTACCCTAACTGGATCTAACCTAACTGGATCTAATCTAACTGGATCTAACCTAACTGGATCTAATCTAACTGGATCTAATCTAACTGGATCTAACCTAACTGGATCTAACCTAACTGGATCTAACCTAACTAGATCTAATGGATTGATGGGGAGTGTTGGCCCCCGTGGTCAGAGCAGTGCTCTCTGCTCTGAGAGGGTTACTAGTACCCGGTTCATCTCCACAGACTGCCACTGGGTCCCTGAGCCAGACCTTTAACTCCACCCTGCTCCCTGAGCACCGCACAATGGCAGCCCACTGCTCCCCCAGGGGAGGGCTTAAATGTAGAGAGGGAATTCCTCCAGTGTGAGATCAATAAAGTCAAATTTTTATTATTAACATTACTGATCTAATTTAACTGGATCTATCCAGGTTAAATCCAGGATCTATCCAAAGACCATAATCTAATCCAATCCTGTGGGATTCTTTAAAAGTCTCCAGTACCAGAATATTGAACAGAAAATAATCCCACTGCTGAAGACGATCTGGGTCAGAACCTGGAAGAAGGTCCGCTCCATGGACTCATGGTGACTTCAGGTTCCCTAACCCTTCTAGGGATGGAGATCAGGGAACCCAGAACCACAAACCATCTGAGCTCCTCTCATCCAGAACCTCTAAAGACTCAGCAGCAAGGAGGTCTCTTCTGGATCAGTTCTGGACCATCAGGCTTCATCTACACCTGAGTCTGATCTGCTGCAGCTCCTCTAAAACCACCACAACCAGAACCACCAGAACCACAGGGTAGCTGGCAGAACCCAGGACCTCCCCAGGTCCACCTGGGTCCACCTGCATCACAGCAGGTTCCACAGCAGGAGCAGAGAGCAGCTCCAGGAGGAGGAGGAGGAGGTCAGACACCCCACCCACTCACCGTGGCTCCGCAGCTCAGAACCAGGATCAGCAGAATCCAGCCGCTCCTCATCCTTGCAGCAACAGTCGCTCCAGCTGCTCCTGGTTTCTCAGGAGGAAGATCTCCGCTGATGACTCCTCCTCCTCCTCCTCCTCCTCCTTTCAGCTCCGGAAACTGGAGCAACTTTAGAGAGAAAGGAGCGCGTGGAACCGCAGCCCGAATTTGTACAGAGACAAGTCGGTCGGCGGGAGCGCGCGCTGGAGGGAACGAGCACACGATGACGAGTACGAGCACCATAAAGCGCGCTCGTGCCGCTTTCCAAAGTACCGCGAGATTCGGGAGATCAAACAGCCGCTGATAGTTTCTGGACAAGATCAGGCTGCCTTCATCATCATCATCATCATCATCATCATCATCATCATGATGTCAGAACACTAACAGCCACCAGCCAACATGGCTGCTGTGATTTCTCCACCAGCGCACCGGGCGGGCGGGGTCTGAGCGCTTCACTGATAGGCTGCTTCCTGCAGCGCGCATGCGCAGAGAAACCACTGGTCAGCTGCGGAGCAGTTTGGCCTCAGAACCAAGAACAGAAATAAATCATGCAGCAGATGATGACTCCTCCTCCTCCTCCTCTTTAAAATTAGACTCTGACGGCAGCTCACTGTGTCCCCCTGCTGGTAGCAACACAGGACCTCCCTCCATGTTCTCCTCCCTGCATGTTCTCCCGCCCCCCATGTTCTCCTGCCTCCATGTTCTCCTGTCCCCATGTTCTCCTGCCTCCATGTTCTCCTGCCTCCATGTTCTCCTGTCCCCATGTTCTCCTGTCCCCATGTTCTCCTGTCCCCATGTTCTCCTGCCTCCATGTTCTCCTGTCCCCATGTTCTCCTGCCTCCATGTTCTCCTGTCCCCATGTTCTCCTGCCTCCATGTTCTCCTGTCCCCATGTTCTCCTGCCTCCATGTTCTCCTGCCCCCATGTTCTCCTGCCCCCATGTTCTCCTGTCTCCATGTTCTCCTGCCCCCCATGTTCTCCTGTCCCCATGTTCTCCTGTCCCCATGTTCTTCTGCCTCCATGTTCTCCTGCCTCCATGTTCTCCTGCCTCCATGTTCTCCTGTCCCCATGTTCTCCTGCCTCCATGTTCTCCTGTCCCCATGTTCTCCTGTCCCCATGTTCTCCTGTCCCCATGTTCTCCTGCCTCCATGTTCTCCTGTCCCCATGTTCTCCTGCCTCCATGTTCTCCTGTCCCCATGTTCTCCTGCCTCCATGTTCTCCTGTCCCCATGTTCTCCTGCCCCCATGTTCTCCTGCCCCCATGTTCTCCTGTCTCCATGTTCTCCTGCCCCCCATGTTCTCCTGTCCCCATGTTCTTCTGCCTCCATGTTCTCCTGCCTCCATGTTCTCCTGTCTCCATGTTCTCCTGCCCCCCATGTTCTCCTGTCCCCATGTTCTCCTGCCTCCATGTTCTCCTGTCCCCATGTTCTCCTGCCTCCATGTTCTCCTGCCTCCATGTTCTCCTGCCCCCCATGTTCTCCTGCCTTCATGTTCTCCTGCCCCCCATGTTCTCCTGTCCCCATGTTCTCCTGCCCCCCATGTTCTCCTGTCCCCATGTTCTCCTGCCCCCCATGTTCTCCTGCCCCCCCATGTTCTCCTGCCCTCCATGTTCTCCTGCCTCCATGTTCTCCTGCCTCCATGTTCTCCTGCCTCCATGTTCTCCTGCCTCCATGTTCTCCTGCCCCCCATGTTCTCCTGCCTCCATGTTCTCCTGCCTCCATGTTCTCCTGCCCCCATGTTCTCCTGCCTCCATGTTCTCCTGCCTCCATGTTCTCCTGCCCCCCATGTTCTCCTGCCCCCCATGTTCTCCTGCCTCCATGTTCTCCTGCCTCCATGTTCTCCTGCCCCCCATGTTCTCCTGCCTCCCCATGTTCTCCTGCCCCCCCATGTTCTCCTGCCCTCCATGTTCTCCTGCCTCCATGTTCTCCTGCCCCCCCTTGTTCTCCTGCCCTCCATGTTCTCCTGCCCTCCATGTTCTCCTGCCCTCCATGTTCTCCTGCCCCCCCATGTTCTCCTGCCTCCATGTTCCCCTGCCTCCATGTTCTCCTGACCCCCCATGTTCTCCTGCCTCCATGTTCTCCTGCCTCCATGTTCTCCTGCCCCCCCATGTTCTCCTGCCTCCATGTTCTCCTGCCTCCATGTTCTCCTGCCTCCATGTTCTCCTGCCCCCCCATGTTCTCCTGCCTCCATGTTCTCCTGCCCCCCCATGTTCTCCTGCCCCCCCATGTTCTCCTGCCTCCATGTTCTCCTGCCCCCCCATGTTCTCCTGCCCTCCATGTTCTCCTGCCCCCCCATGTTCTCCTGCCTCCCCATGTTCTCCTGCCCCCCCATGTTCTCCTGCCCCCCCATGTTCTCCTGCCTCCATGTTCTCCTGCCCCCCCATGTTCTCCTGCCCCCCCATGTTCTCCTGCCCCTCCATGTTCTCCTGCCTCCATGTTCTCCTGCCTCCATGTTCTCCTGCCTCCATGTTCTCCTGCCCCCCATGTTCTCCTGCCCTCCATGTTCTCCTGCCTCCATGTTCTCCTGCCCCCCCTTGTTCTCCTGCCCTCCATGTTCTCCTGCCCTCCATGTTCTCCTGCCTCCATGTTCTCCTGCCTCCATGTTCTCCTGCCCCCCATGTTCTCCTGCCCCCCATGTTCTCCTGCCTCCATGTTCTCCTGCCTCCATGTTCTCCTGCCCCCATGTTCTCCTGCCTCCATGTTCTCCTGCCTCCATGTTCTCCTGCCCCCCATGTTCTCCTGCCCCCCATGTTCTCCTGCCTCCATGTTCTCCTGCCTCCATGTTCTCCTGCCCCCCATGTTCTCCTGCCCCCCCATGTTCTCCTGCCCTCCATGTTCTCCTGCCTCCATGTTCTCCTGCCCCCCCTTGTTCTCCTGCCCTCCATGTTCCCCTGCCCTCCATGTTCTCCTGCCTCCATGTTCCCCTGCCTCCATGTTCTCCTGACCCCCCATGTTCTCCTGCCTCCATGTTCTCCTGCCTCCATGTTCTCCTGCCCCCCCATGTTCTCCTGCCTCCATGTTCTCCTGCCTCCATGTTCTCCTGCCTCCATGTTCTCCTGCCTCCATGTTCTCCTGCCTCCATGTTCTCCTGCCCCCCCATGTTCTCCTGCCTCCATGTTCTCCTGCCCCCCCATGTTCTCCTGCCCCCCCATGTTCTCCTGCCTCCATGTTCTCCTGCCCCCCCATGTTCTCCTGCCCTCCATGTTCTCCTGCCCCCCCATGTTCTCCTGCCTCCCCATGTTCTCCTGCCCCCCCATGTTCTCCTGCCCCCCCATGTTCTCCTGCCTCCATGTTCTCCTGCCTCCATGTTCTCCTGCCCCCCCATGTTCTCCTGCCCCTCCATGTTCTCCTGCCCCCCATGTTCTCCTGCCCCCCATGTTCTCCTGCCTCCATGTTCTCCTGCCCCCCCTTGTTCTCCTGCCCTCCATGTTCTCCTGCCCTCCATGTTCTATTGCCTCCATGTTCTCCTGCCTCCATGTTCTCCTGCCCTCCATGTTCTCCTGCCCCCCCATGTTCTCCTGCCTCCATGTTCCCCTGCCTCCATGTTCTCCTGACCCCCCATGTTCTCCTGCCTCCATGTTCTCCTGCCTCCATGTTCTCCTGCCCCCCCATGTTCTCCTGCCTCCATGTTCTCCTGCCCCCCCATGTTCTCCTGCCCCCCCATGTTCTCCTGCCTCCATGTTCTCCTGCCCCCCCATGTTCTCCTGCCCTCCATGTTCTCCTGCCCCCCCATGTTCTCCTGCCTCCCCATGTTCTCCTGCCCCCCCATGTTCTCCTGCCTCCATGTTCTCCTGCCCCCCCATGTTCTCCTGCCCCCCCATGTTCTCCTGCCTCCATGTTCTCCTGCCTCCATGTTCTCCTGCCCCCCCATGTTCTCCTGCCCCTCCATGTTCTCCTGCCCTCCATGTTCTCCTGCCCTCCATGTTCTCCTGCCCCCCCATGTTCTCCTGCCCTCCATGTTCTCCTGCCTCCATGTTCTCCTGCCCCCCCATGTTCTCCTGCCCCCCATGTTCTCCTGCCCCCCATGTTCTCCTGCCCTCCATGTTCTCCTCCCCCCCCCCATGTTCTCCTGCCTCCATGTTCTCCTGCCCTCCATGTTCTTCCTACAAATGATCTAAGAATTAATTTGTTTGCAGGAACAGTTCTTGCATGAGATTCAATCTTTTTTTCCATCTATGAGCATAAAGCTCCATGTTTGTCTCGTCTGTCCAGAGGACGTTGGTTCATGTCTCCCATTTAGTCCACTTTGGCTCAAACGATGATGGATGCTGCGATCGGACGCTGATGTTCCTTCAGCTTGAAGTTTTTCTGGCTTCTTTAGTTTCCATTCCTAGAATCTGTCACCAGTTTTCCTCCTGCAGCTGCGTCCAGGCAGCTGGTCTACAGATGGACTGTAGACCAGCTGCCTGGACGCAGCTGGTCTACAGTCCATCTGTAGCCAGAGGAACATTAGCTGCATAACATGCTGCTCTCTCATGGTCTTTCCTCTTGTCCATGTTGAGTGTGGTACACACCATGTCACCACACCTGTAGTCCATTTATAGACCCACTGACTGGAGACGCCTCCGCTGCTGATTGGTGGACACACCTGATCCCTTTGGTCAGATTATTTTCCGTCTTTTCTGGGGAACCATCATTTTAGTCTAGGCCTATTTCAGGACTTTTTTTATTAATCCAGTCTAGTGAAGCCTGGTTGAAAATCATTGTCTCACTTTTATTTGTTCATTTTCATAGAATTTGTATTTAAACAAAAATCAGGTTTTGTCAGAAAGAAGTTTTTCTTTGGTTAAATGAGGGGAACCACCAAACGTTTCCACTTGTTTCTGAACGACCTGTCCACCTTAATGCAAAATCTGCTGATGTTAGACTAATTTTAAACTTCTTTTTCTCTCGTTTAGCTGATTTCCTCTATTATTTCCTGAGCTGCCAAAGTTGTGGATGTCTGGGAACTAAACATGTCCTGACTTTCAGAAAGTAGTTTGTGTTTATCAACAAAGTTCTTCTGTTTTTCTCTGAAATCCTGAGTCGAACAAAACAAGTTCATAGTTTTTAAATTGATGTTTTGTTTAATGTTATGCAACTTTACCAGATTCATTCCCCTCGCAGTAAATGTGGTAAATATGTTATTTAATCAGGTATTATTCTATCCTGACTGTTTAATATTGTTTTTGAACAGACGCCCCCTACTGGCCGTAAGTTAGAACTAATTAAAGTGTGAAGGAGCTCAAAGCTGCAGCGTTCAGAACGGCCACTTTAAATTTTTAGGTATATAACACTTAATTCTTACTAGTATAATTTAGTTTTTTTACTTTTTGAAATTCAGTTTCTGCTACAAAAATGTAATTTAGAAAATGTATAATTACTGTTCAGTCTAGGATGGATTTTGATCAGGAAGAATCTAAATATATTTTAGTGATCTACAAATGAAACAACAAAAAGTGCTTTGAATAAATGTAAAAACGGCTTGCCATAGCCCACTGCATTTAAAACTTACAGTAAAATCTTCTCCATTTTCCTTTGCAGCTGTAGAGCTGTTTCTCTTTTAAACAGACTCTCCATATTTTTTATAATTTCTTCATTAAATTTCTAGTTGCAGTCGGGTGAAATAGGCACTTCCTGTTGCCTGTTGTCATGGTAACAAGGCCTCTAAGTGGACCTAATACCTTAGAGTTGACTGAACTAATTCACAGCAACTTTTATGAAACTGAAAACTCAGAGTTTCCAACCTGAGGCTAGATTAATTCAGAGCGGAAGATTAAAATCAGACTTTGTTAAACCTGCTTATTGAACCGGAGCCCAGTTCTGAAACTGCTGGCTCTTAATCTGCGGGTTAATCTACTAATAATCCAGATGCTCTAAGGAACCCGGTTAAAAGCCTTTTATTTCAGACTGCAGCACTTATTTTGGAGCCTTGAGGGTGATGAGGTGAACGTTCTCGATCATGGAGTCCAGACCCCAGTTCCTCCATTTGTCGTTCAGGGCTTCCTCAGACTGCAGCAGCTCCACGGTGCAGCTGCTCCCTGAAACACAAACAACCACTTTGAGCAAAGCTGGACTGCAAAAAACCAAAACCTTCCTCCTGGGAGACCAAGCTGTGATCTGGGCTGCCTTGAATCTCAGAGTCTGCGTCGTCCAGGGACCCGGTCTACCCGGACTGGATCCTCCCAGAACCCGGTCTACCCGACTACCCGGACTGGATCACCCCAGGACCCGGTCTACCTGGACTGGATCCTCCCAGGACCCGGGCTACCTGGACTGGATCCTCCCAGGACCCGGGCTACCCGGACTGGATCCTCCCAGGACCCGGTCTACCCGACTACCCGGACTGGATCCCCCCAGGACCCGGTCTACCTGGACTGGATCCCCCCAGGACCCGGTCTACCTGGACTGGATCCTCCCAGGACCCGGGCTACCCGGACTGGATCCTCCCAGGACCCGGTCTACCCGACTACCCGGACTGGATCCCCCCAGGACCCGGTCTACCTGGACTGGATCCTCCCAGGACCCGGGCTACCCGGACTGGATCCTCCCAGGACCTGGTCTACCCAGACTGGATCAAACATTAGCTCCACATTTCTGACTCAAAAACCATTAAAACACTTTTTTTATTCCTTTCAGACGGAACTGATCACAGACTGGATTATATTAAACTGCACTTCCAGTGTTCACCACTGGTCGGCGCCATTTTTCTCTGAGCACGTAGGATACATCGGACCCGTCCTTCAAATCGGGAAAAAGAAAGACACATTTATTGGCCGTATAACAAGGAGTGCTGGAATCCGATCAGACCTCGGCGCCGCGCTATGATGTCATCGAACCAACAAACATCTGGAGGACCAGCTGATGGATTCTCCTCATCAAATCAAGAATAAAGGCTGTAGAAGATCCAAAAACAACTAAAGCTGAGTTCTTTCAAGTTCTTCATGAGAAAAAAGCTGCATTCAGAAGCTGACAGAACCTCCAGAGAACCTCCAGAGAACCTCCAGAGAACCTCCAGAGAACCTCCTGAGAACCTCCTGAGAACCTCCAGAGAACCTCCAGAGAACCTCCTGAGAACCTCCAGAGAACCTCCATCCAGCCCTTCAGCTGGATCATGGTCTGACTTCACGGTGATCCAGGAAGGTCCAGCAGAGAACTTAGACCAACAGGAGGAAGAGGAGAGAACGGCTGCAGCGCTGCTCACAGAAACGATGAAGAACACGACAGAATGAGCAAAGTCAGGAAATGATAGAAGCTGATGAAGAAAACAGGAGATCCGAGGAACCGCAGTGGGTTCTATTAGAACTGAACCGTCCTGGTCCATGAGGTTCTGATCCATCCATCAACCAGCACAGATGATAGCCTTTAGTAAACCTACTGTTAGACCCCCCCCCCCCCCGGCATCTACTCACCGAACAAACCGAGGACCTGTTCATCTGGAACGAAGAACGGAGGACCTGCAAGAGAAGCAGAGAAGGTCACAGCAGGTCCAACATCAGAGCTGCGTTCAAACAGGCGGGTCGAGCCGCGTTCCCATGGAGACAGCGGCTTAGCGTTCACTAAAGCACTGAGGTAAAAATGAGTTTCTAGATGTTTTTAGCTTCAATGTTTGCTAAACATCAACAGAAACAAAGATCTACAGAAAAGGAATTAAAGGAAGGAGAGACTTTCTGTTCTAGATGGGTTCATGTCCTTCAAATTCCAGCTAATTGAACTTCAATCAAGCCCCGCCCCCCTGCCTGTTATGGAGCAGCAACTGTCGCTACCCGATCCGTCCCACCAGCTCATCATCAACCAGATATACATCCGGGTCGCCGTCCATTTTAATCGTTAAAAAGACATTTTTTTTCCTCCCTAAACATAAATATAATGTGTTAAAGGTTAATAATGTGTTTAAAAATGCATTTAAATCCTGTTTTATCGCTGATCTGTACAGGAAAACTCTCCTGGTGGAGTGAAGCTGTTTATTTCTATGTTTTCATGCTGATAGTTCTGCAGGAGGATCACGGCTGGATGCAGCCGCCATCTTCCCGCCAGCTTTGATTGGCAGACAGGAAGATGGCGGCTCTACAGTTTTGGACACTTTTCACCTGAAGCTCACCTTTCTCAACGATCAACAACCTGCCGCCCGCGGAAACGCGCCCAGAACCTCTGGATGCGCTTCCACCAACTCTACGTCTCCCGTAAAACATGTTTGATGTGAATGCAGCAATATTGTCTCCATGGCAACATACCTTCATACAAGTCTGGATTGTACAGGAAGGTGTCCAGCAGGTATCTGCAGTCCGCAGCCATCAGAGAGAGGATCAGAGCCGCATACCTGAGGAGCCCAGGACACCGGTGAGGAGCGGGATACGCTGATGTCACGCTGATGTCACAGCAGACGTCTCACTGAGCTCACCTGTCCCGGTCCTTTGGGTTGATGGCCACCAGAGATCCTCGGTCCCAGATGGCTCCAAACTGACCTGCCACAGAGCTGAAACAGAGCGGCTCAGACGGCAGCAGTCGCCTTCAAGCTGGAAGCAGGAGGAAACTCACCTGGAGAAGCTGAACAGGTCGCACTGATACAGGGAGATGCTCTTCTCCGTGTTCTAGAAAGAATAAAACACCAGATGGGAAAGTGTCCAATCAGCGAGCTCATCAGAACCTCCTGATTGGACCATAAGGACGCTGCTTTAATAAAACCTAATCTGAGGATTAGTCAGGGTTAGGTTTAGGTTGGGGCCACTTCAGAGTCAGATCAGCTCAATCTAAAGAACTCAACACAAACAATCCCGTTTTTAAGTCAGATCTGACAGAAATTCACACGGTCTGACGTCGTGGCGTTTGGTGCTCATCCAGGGATTATGGAGATGATCAGACGCCGCAGGATTCCCTGCAGCTGCGACTGAGATGGAGTCCAGATCTATGTTGGTCGGAGCTACGCAGCGATTCAGACGTTATAAATGGGTCTGACAGGAAGAGAGACGCGCTTATAAAGTAAAACATAAAAATACAAAATAAAATCTGACAATCCAACAGCGAAAGAGTCAGTTTGGAGTCACAAAGCGAGTTTAAAGCAGGCTGGGCATAAAAACAATCAATGAAAAATGTTTTATCCATAATAGGAGTTCAGCAGGAAAGATAAAGTAACGATCCTCTAAGCGTCACGATAACCAGGAAGGACAGAAGGCGTTTCTCTCCTCCAGAGCGCCGCTTCAAGAAGCCGGTTTACTGAAAACTGAAAACAGGAAAACTGAGTTTTCTGTTTCAAAAGGAGTTTCCTCATCCTGTTTCTGTTGCCATAGTAACATCCTCCCATAGCTAACCAGGTCAGCAGCAGGTTTCCTTCAGTAAACTCCTTACAGCCAATCAGGTCGCTTCATTTCCTTATTTATTCTGATTTCTGTCGTAGTTTTCTGCATAAAAATAAAAACTTGGTCAGTTTGACACGAGGTTCTAAAAACAAACATTTAATGTCTGACGAGGATCTTATTAAAGAATGATCGACATTAATTCACAGAGAATTACACATTTATAGGGAGAGGATTATTTAGTTATATTTACAGAACATGAACTACTAAAGTTATTTTTAGATTACACATAAATAGATTCATTAATTCCCCATGGGGAATTAATGAATCCTAACTTCTCCATAACGCACGGCAGCGTAACGCCCAGGAAATGATTGGTCGCCTGATTGGTCACTTGATTGGTCACCTGATTGGTCACCTGATTGGTCACCTGATTGGTCGCCTGATTGGTCAGCCTGATTGGTCGCCTGATTGGTCACCTGATTGGTCAGCCTGCACATTAAGGTGAAGCAAATCGATTACAGAGACTGGATTCGTTCCTTATGTTCCTAACAGAGCACTTCGCTCTCAATCTGCAGGTTTACTAGTGGTTCCTAGAATTTCTAATAGTAGAATGGGAGGCAGATCTTTTAGTTCTCAGGCTCCTCTCCTGTGGAACCAACTACCAGTTTTAGTCCGTGAGGCAGACACCCTGTCTACTTTTAAGGCTAGACTTAAAACTTTCCTTTTTGATAAAGCTTCTAGTTAGAGTGGCTCAGGTTATCCTGAGCTATCCCTATAGTTCTGCTGCTATAGGCTTAGACTGCTGGAGGACATAGGGACCCCTTTTTCATCATTCTGCTTCATTCTATCTCTATTCTCCCACTCTGCAGAATCTGTTAGTTCAATCTCTAACGTTCTGCTCTCTCTGCTTTTTCTCATAGTAGCTTCATCTGGTCTGTTCCTGTTTGGCTGTGACTCCATCCTGGAGAGAAATATCGGCTGTGCTGCTGCCATCAACACCTTTGTTTCTAGATGTTGGAGCTTGGCCTGTTTTCCAGTGTAGTCCTGTTTCTCTGACTGTGACTAACTGGATGTGCTCTCTTCATCCTCTGACATGGGAGCTGGCTCGGAGCTCGTCTGCCTGGCTGTGTGTTTCCTGGACGGGGCCGCCTGTGGAGCTGGTTGCCTTTTGTATCTATGCTTCTTTTTCTATGTCTGCTTCTGTCTCCTTGAACCCCAGTGGGCCTCAGCAGATGGCCGCTCACACTGAGCCTGGTTCTGCTGGAGGTTTCTTCCTGTTCAAAGGGAGTTTTTCCTCTCCAATGTCGCTACAAGCATGCTTAGTGTGAGGGATTGCTGAAGAGTCAATGAGTCGATGCAATCAGCTGGTTTTCCTTAGATAGAAAACTTTGAATCAATCTGACTGGATGATCTGGTGAACTGGATCTATAAAGTGACCTGAGATGACATGATGTGAATTGGAGCTATAGAAATAAACTGAATAGAATGGAATTATTTACACCTGAACTGCCGACAAAAATGAAAACGGTAAAACCAAAGAAATATTGTTAAAGGGAATCAGAAATGTTGATAGTTTTCAGTCTTTATTCATTTTAACAGCAGTTTTCTGAACTCAGAATATTTAGTTTTAGAAAATAAATTCTAACGTTTCTTTCATTTCTCAGGTTCATCAAATCCAAACTCTCTCCTGCTTCTTTATAGAACTGCAATCAGAAGCTTTCGCCTGTTTTAGCGGAGATGATATTTCGTTTTTAACTGGGACTGTTTTCATAGCCTACTATTAATTTTGGTAACCGCCGTATTCTTGCGTTATTTTTTATTTTATTTGGCGCTCCAATCGTGCACACAGACTAGAAAACAAGCACTCAGAAAGAGAGGAGGAGTCTAAGGCAGAAAAATCAGAGAGTGGAGTTAATCAGTGCAGCATAGTTCTATGCGCTGCTCTGTGAAAGGAACAGGAAAGACCAGGCAGCTGCAGCTGAGAGAGGAAAAGATGCCACTGCTGCAGCAACGCTGGATTGGAAATTATAAACATGTTGTTCACATCTCATTATTGGCAGGGACAGGTAGGTCCAAATGTTGGTAGGGACATGTCCCTATGGTCCGTAACCCTATGGTCCGTATGGTCCCTCTGGTCTGTATGGTCCCTCTGGTCTGTATGGTCCCTCTGGTTCGTATGGTCCGTATTGTCCCTCTGGTCCGTATTGTCCCTATCCAACCCAGTCTCATGGGAAAATGTACCCCCACTACGTTGGTCCACACTGCAAAACGTAGTGGAGGTACATTAATGGCCATTTTTTTGTGGTACTGTTACGTTTCTTCTACCTATATGCTTTCTATTGTTTTACGTCCTAGTCACGTGACTTTCAAGATTCCAGCTGGGAGAAGAAAAAAATATATATATATGGCCGACATTCGCTCATTTTTTGTGGAAAGATTAATAACTTGAGTTTGTTTTTGCATTAAAATGAGTTTTGATTACATTTCTAGTGAGAAATGTATAGTTTGTTGCCAGAATATTTACTCAGGGAATGTACATATTCACTTGCTTGTTCGTTTCTTGCAAAGATTTTTTCAAGATAATGTGAAACTGTAACATTTTGGTATAAACATGGCTGAGATTTCTCTAACTTTTAGTGGGAAAATCAATAATTTCAATCAGTTTCTGCATTTAAATGGGTTTTGATTACATTTATAGCGAGAAGTGTAGGGTTTATTTACATAATATTTACTTAGTGAACATAGATAATCACCCGCTTGCTAGTTTTTGCTACGTTTTTCGGATCTCGTCAGGATTATGTGAAATTGCAACGTTTAGGCTGCTACCCATCGCCTAGCATTTAGCTGCCGCCCCGATTCAACATTGAATTCTTTGTGATTTAACTCCATCTGACGGATCAAACCCTCGCCACTGCGTGCGTTGCGTCCGAGGATGATTTTCACATCAATGCATTACGTCGTGGCATACGGGAGAAACTAATTAAACTAGTTAAAAAAAGGATCATGGGTTAAGATCGGATGTGTTTTATTTGGAAATCTACCGGATCCTTTGTGCATTTCACTTCCTGTTTGGTGCAATCTCATTGATGGGTTTTGACCAGATTTTGACCAAAGAGGAACTCAAAAAAAAACAAAAAAACAATTTGAATACACAACCAGCATATCTGGAATCAGTGACAGAGAGCGACTGGGACCAGAAGTTTATTAATTTCTCCCCTTTGATTTCCATTCAAAATGTTCTCGATCCCACCGGGCTGTAGGGAAGGGGCGGGCATACCGCCACCTACTGTTCATGAGTGTGTAGCAACATTGTTTTACATCTATTAAATTCTATTTTTTAATTTTGTATTCTGAAGATAAATAAATAATGCTTTCCTTAATCTATAAATATCTTTTATATTTCCTTTATTTCCCAATAATCCTTTAAGACTCCATTCTTGGCCTGTCCTCTTTTCAATTTCTTCCTTTCAGGTTCATATGTTTTGCAGTTCATCAATACATCTGCATTTTCTATCTCTCCACATCCTTCACATTTATCATTATTTTTCCTCCCTATTAAGTATAAATTGTCATTTAAATAAGTATGACCTACTCTTAATCTGATCATTATTATTTCTTCCCTTCGGTTTCTCTCATTAATATTTCTATTTAATACTGACTTTTGTACTTTATATAACCTTCTTCCTTTTTTATCTTCATTCCACCTTTTTTGCCATTTTTCAATTTCTTTCCTCTTAATAAATGACTTTCCTTCCCCTTTCCCTAAAGGAATTGTAATTGTTATTGCCTCCTCTAATTGCTAATTTGTCTACTACTACTACATTTTCCAACTTTGACCTTTTAAGGTTAGCATATTGACCAAAAGCTGACACCAAAAATAAAGCAATCGATTATGTACAACAATATGCTACATTTAATGAAGACTAATACAGATTTTACTCTCTTATAAGAATTAGTTTTAGGTTTTATAGGGGAGAGTTTGCATCGGCAGTCATCTGGGAATCTTTTATGTATTTACTGGTAAAGAACAACCTCTCAACCCATTTAATGTAAATGTTGCGTCGAACCAGAAAGTTATTTGAAGAGCATAGATGCATAAATATATGCATAGCTTTAACAAGGGCCTCATGAAGGTCTGTTCTGTTATTCTCTTTTGGAGAATATAGACATTGTGCGCATTCATTTCCCTGATAAGCTGGTGAAGATTCTTAGACATCCAGGTCATAATCATTCCAAAAAAAAACAAACAAAAAAACAAACAAACAAAAAAAAAAAAAAATTTGGACTTTGTTTTTCAAGTTTGAAGACTTCCCATTCAGGACGTTTTTCAATTCAAAGTTACAGTAGCCCAACAAATCCTTGTTTTGGCTAGGAAAATATGCAAATTGAACCTGATGCCTGATCCCAATAGCTTGACTCTGAACCGAATTTGATCCCTATTACTTTTTGGCCACATGCACATTATTGAGCTGCCTGGAAAGTTAGCTGGAATGAAAAGTAGACAAATAACAATTACAATTCCTTTAGGGAAAGGGGAAGGAAAATCATTTATTAAGAGGAAAGAAATTGAAAAATGGAAAAAAAAAAAAAAAGGTGGAATGAAGATAAAAAGGAAGAAGGTTATATAAAGTACAAAAGTCAGTATTAAATAGAAATATTAATGAGAGAAACCGAAGGGAAGAAATAATAATGATCAGATTAAGAGTAGGTCATACTTATTTAAATGACAATTTATACTTAATAGGGAGGAAAAATAATGATAAATGTGAAGGATGTGGAGAGATAGAAAATGCAGATGTATTGATGAACTGCAAAACATGAACCTGAAAGGAAGAAATTGAAAAGAGGACAGGCCAAGAATGGAGTCTTAAAGGATTATTGGGAAATAAAGGAAATATAAAAGATATTTATAGATTAAGGAAAGCATTATTTATTTATATTCAGAATACAAAATTAAAAAATAGAATTTAATAGATGTAAAACAATGTTGCTACACACTCATGAACAGTAGGTGGCGGTATGCCCGCCCCTTCCCCTACAGCCCGGTGGGATCGAGAACATTTTGAATGGAAATCAAAGGGGAGAAATTAATAAACTTCTGGTCCCAGTCGCTCTCTGTCATTGATTCCAGATATGCTGGTTGTGTATTTAAATTGTTTTAGGTTTTTTTTAGTTCCTCTTTGGTCAAAATCTGGTCAAAACCCATCAATGAGATCGCACCAAACAGGAAGTTAATTGCACAAAGGATCCGGTAGATTTCCAAATAAAACACATCCGATCTTAACCCATGATCCTTTTTTTAACTAGTTTAATTAGTTTCTCCCGTATGCCACGACGTAATGCATTGATCTGAAAATCAACCTCAGACGCAACGCACGCAGTGGCGAGGGTTTGATCCGTCAGATGGAGTTAAATCACAAAGAATTCAATGTTGAATCGGGGCGGCAGCTAAATGCTAGGCGATGGGTAGCAGCCAAAACGTTGCAATTTCACATAATCCTGACGAGATCCGAAAAACGTAGCAAAAACTAGCAAGCGGGTGATTATCTATGTTCACTAAGTAAATATTATGTAAATAAACCCTACACTTCTTGCTATAAATGTAATCAAAACCCATTTAAATGCAGAAACTGATTGAAATTATTGATTTTCCCACTAAAAGTTAGAGAAATCTCAGCCATGTTTATACCAAAATGTTACAGTTTCACATTATCTTGAAAAAATCTTTGCAAGGAACGAACAAGCAAGTGAATATGTACATTCCCTGAGTAAATATTCTGGCAACAAACTATACATTTCTCACTAGAAATGTAATCAAAACTCATTTTAATGCAAAAACAAACTCAAGTTATTAATCTTTCCACAAAAAAATGAGCGAATGTCGGCCATATATATATTTTTTTTCTTCTCCCAGCTGGAATCTTGAAAGTCACGTGACTAGGACGTAAAACAATAGAAAGCGTATAGGTAGAAGAAACGTAACAGTACCACAAAAAAAAGGCCATTAATGTACCTCCACTACGTTTTGCAGTGTGGACCAACGTAGAGGGGGTACATTTTCCTATGAGACTGGGTTGCCCTATCCCTATGGTCCCTCTGGTCTGTATGGTCCCTATGGTCCCTATGGCCCCTCTGGTCCGTATGGCCCCTATGGTCCCTCTGCAAACCTGCGTCCATGCCGCTTTATATAGTGATGTAGGCGTGAGGGCGTAGATGGTCCATTCCCATTTAAAGTCAGTGACAGCGGGTTAGGGCGATCATGTAGAGACATTAAAACTGTGATGACATCATCCAGAACCAAGATGGCCGTAGTCAGAGGCAGGTGGTGTGTGAGGCTTCCACTAACCTGGAAGAGTTTGGCCCCAGGGATGGAGGGAACACTTTCCTCGTTGTAGGTCAGGTTGTTCTCCTGGAAGAACTGTCTGATGGCCATCTCAGAAATCTCCACGCCAACCACAGAGTGACCCAGATCCGCCAACCTGAGTCGGGTCAGACAAAGCGGCCGACCATCAGAACCAGGAGATTCCCTCCTGCAGACAGGATGAGGAGGAACCAGATGTTCTTACCACTTCATGTCCACAGCTTTGCCACACAGAGGGAAGAAGAAGCGGACGCTGCTCCGACCGTTCACCACCTTATCGTAGTTGTTCTGCAGCATCCTGTCGGAGAGCCGCCGCTGTCAGACCATCAGACCCCGACAGGACAGGAAATGGAACCAAACCCACTGACCAGAGAGCAGCTTTGACCGCCTGGCTCTCCATACTCAACATCAAACCTACTTGTGGACCTCCAGCTGATGGAAGCCAGTCCTATGCTGCTGCCAGCGCTGCTCCCACTCTGACAGCTCCATGGTGCGATTTGCCTGCTGCTCCAACATGCTGCTGAAGTTCCTCTGGGCAAGGCTGCAGCAGGAGCACACAGCCAGTCAGCGTCGTTCAGACAATCACAACTAGAGACACGGTCTGGCCCACAGTGGGATCTCCCCACCCCCACAGAGGGAGCAGCTCACAGACAAAATATCAGAGTGGAACCACTGATCTCTGTTTAGTCACAGGACTGCTGACGGCCACCGTCGGCCATGTTGGTACTCCCCACCCCCACAGAGGGAGCAGCTCACAGACATAATATCAGAGTAGACGCCACATCCATCGCTTTCACCTACGGGAGCTGACGTGATGTGGCGGCGCCATCTTGGGAAGGTCAACAGCTCCGCTCAGTGTGACGTGATGCTGGCACAGAATCAATTTTAATCAACTTTAAATTTCTGAACTAATTTTCACAGTTTTGTTTTTTGCTGAAAATAAACAAATGGTTCATTTTATTATAATATTCTTATATGATTATTAAATATTATTAGTGAAGAGTAATAGAATATTCTGATAGGATGGATGCAAAGCAGCCACTCATACTTTTATTACTATATACAGAAACATATTTATATATCGATGCACAAATATACATCCACATATATCTCAGTATCTCTATATAACTACACTGTAAAAATGTCTATAGCCGTATATTATCTATTCTAAAGATGCACAGTATTTAAATTTGTACACTAAAGCATATTATTTATTTATATTTTATGTGAATTTTATTTTTACCCATGTTTTATATTTATAGTGTTTTATTTATTTCTCTTCAGCTCTTCGGTCAGCTGTGGTTGTTTTTAAGTACTTAAATAAAATTGGATAGAATTTCTAACTCTGTCACTTATTCTATTATTTTTATGCACTTTTTAAAGCTCCGCCATTGTTTGACGACTTCAGCTGCTGGCAGAATTTCCCCACTGTGGGACGAAGGGAGTTTCTATTCTATGTAGTCTATATCTGCTGTTTATTCAGTAATGTCTCCAAAGCTCTGATGCCTTCAGGAAGTTCTCCCTCCAGCCATGACGTCATCAGTCTGTAGATTTAAACTAAAAGATGCTGCAGTGCTGAGCCATCCTTCTGTTCTGCTTAAAGCTGCAGTTTAGGGGAGCAGGTCGACCTCCCCAAGATGGCGTCCCTAATTTCTACGCTGCGACAGTCATTGCAGGGTCTACTCTTAGATGATGTCAGCAGCTGCTCCAGTGCATTGATTCACTCTCTACTGGTTTAACTGGGATCTGGTTTCCCTCTGAGGGCCAAAACCTCCTGGGCGGAAGTGAAGCTCACCTGTGCGCGGCCACGTGACTCAGCAGCAACCAGACCGCACCTGAGACCAACATGTTGGACCGGAAGCTCACCTTTCTAACAGAAACCAGCTGCGGGGGTCCGAAGGAGTCAGTATGAGTCAGAAGGAGTCAGAAGGAGTCCAGCTCACAGCTCCCCGCTTGTCCTGTAGATCAATCTGGACTCTCTGCTGCTGCTTCCTGTCAGGATTGCTCCGCCCACAGCTCCGCCTGGCAGGACTGTAGAGTTTCCAGATCGAGCGGAGCTCCACCGGAAGCGGAAGTAGCTTTTCATTGACTTGATCTAATTTTCTGAAGTGGGACGCTTTCAAGATTTAAAAAATGTAGTTTTATCTTAGCTTCCTCTCTAAATCTCACCTTTCATCAACAAAACTTCCTGTATTCACAAGAAATACAACATCTGAACAAATACCGAGATAAATATAAATGTATTGACGCTGCAACAGCGCCACCTGCTGGTTGGGAGTCAGCGGTGCATCAGGATTTCTTATTTCAAAGGGAAAAAACACGACAGAAAATACCTGCTATGACTGTAATTTAATATGTATTCATGTATATATATATATATATATATATATATATATATATATATATATATATATATATATATATATATATATATATATATATGTGTGTGTGTATAAATATTTAAGTATATAAAAACATATATATTAACATACAGAATGTTTGATGACATGATTACAATTCAAAACGCCAACTTTAGCCTTGGTTCAAGTCTGACTCGACACAAGAGAGACGTTAAAACTAACTAAAGGTTTTCTTATTTTAAATAGTTTTAATGCTACAGGAAGTAGAAATTCTGCTAAAAGATAGATTTTCCTGAGGAGATTAAACAACGTTGAAGCATTTGAAGCAGAATTAGACAGGAACAGCGTTTATTGTTCCTCAGTGGGGAAATGCAGAAGTTTGGCAGTAAGTGGATCTAAAACAATTGTCTTAATTCTACATCATTAGAAATCCTTTAAATTGACCAATGAGGAGAAAGACTGAAGAAACAATTCCTCCTTTATTCAGACCAACTGATCATCTTAAATCTGATGGGTTCTACATTTAAAACAACATTTAACTTGGCTGAAGGTCAATATTAGTCATTTCACTTCCCATTAAGCCTGCTGGGTCACAGTGCATCGTAAGATGTATAATAATTAAGATGTATAATAAAACACATCTGGTCTGTCTGCTCAGATCTAACTTTCAGGCTCTAATTAGTCCTGGAACCAGAAGTTAGGACGGCGAAGCCTCATGCAGGAGGTCTTTATTCAGTCTGTGATGCAAACTCTGATTCATTCTAAAGAAACGCTGCCAGCAGGTTGGACACGATTTAACCCATGAAGAGTAAATGTATAAAAACAATCATTAATATTTATGTTTCATGTTGAAGATGAATTAATGCAAAGAAGCCTATTTGATCTACGGCAGAATATCTCTCACTTTCACAGCCCTGATGCCCATTCATTTAACCTTTTCTAAAGCCTGATCCTTTCTAAGGCCTGATCCTTTCTAAAGCCTGACCCTTTCAAAGGCCTGACACTTTCTAAAGCCTGATCCTTTCAAAGGCCTGATACTTTCTAAAGCCTGACACTTTCTAAGGCCTGATCCTTTCTAAAGCCTGATCCTTTCAAAGCCCTGATCCTTTCAAAGGCCTGATCCTTTCTAAGGCCTGACCCTTTCAAAGCCCTGATCCTTTCAAAGGCCTGATACTTTCTAAGGCCTGATCCTTTCTAAAGCCTGATCCTTTCAAAGCCCTGATCCTTTCAAAGGCCTGATCCTTTCTAAGGCCTGATCCTTTCTAAAGCCTAACCCTTTCAAAGGCCTGATCCTTTCAAAGCCCTGATCCTTTCAAAGCCCTGATCCTTTCTAAGGCCTGATCCTTTCTAAAGCCTGACACTTTCTAAGGCCTGACCCTTTCAAAGGCCTGACACTTTCTAAAGCCTGATCCTTTCAAAGCCCTGATCCTTTCAAAGGCCTGATCCTTTCTAAAGCCTGACCCTTTCAAAGCCCTGATCCTTTCAAAGGCCTGATACTTTCTAAGGCCTGACCCTTTCTAAGGCCTGACACTTTCTAAAGCCTGACACTTTCTAAGGCCTGATCCTTTCTAAGGCCTGACCCTTTCAAAGGCCTGATCCTTTCTAAAGCCTGATCCTTTCAAAGGCCTGACCCTTTCAAAGGCCTGATCCTTTCTAAAGCCTGATCCTTTCAAAGCCCTGATCCTTTCAAAGGCCTGACCCTTTCTAAGGCCTGACACTTTCTAAAGCCTGACACTTTCTAAGGCCTGATCCTTTCTAAGGCCTGACCCTTTCAAAGGCCTGATCCTTTCTAAAGCCTGATCATTTCAAAGGCCTGACCCTTTCAAAGGCCTGATCCTTTCTAAAGCCTGATCCTTTCAAAGGCCTGATCCTTTCTAAAGCCTGATCCTTTCAAAGGCCTGATCCTTTCTAAAGCCTGATCCTTTCAAAGGCCTGATCCTTTCAAAGGCCTGATCCTTTCAAAGGCCTGATCCTTTCTAAAGCCTGATCCTTTCTAAAGCCTGATCCTTTCAAAGGCCTGACCCTTTCAAAGGCCTGACCCTTTCAAAGGCCTGATCCTTTCTAAGGCCTGATCCTTTCAAAGGCCTGATACTTTCTAAAGCCTGACACTTTCTAAAGCCTGACACTTTCTAAGGCCTGATCTTTTCTAAAGCCTGATCATTTCAAAGGCCTGATACTTTCTAAGGCCTGATCCTTTCAAAGCCCTGATCCTTTCAAAGGCCTGACCCTTTCTAAGGCCTGACCCTTTCTAAGGCCTGATCCTTTCAAAGGCCTGACCCTTTCTAAGGCCTGATCCTTTCAAAGGCCTGATCCTTTCTAAGGCCTGACCCTTTCTAAGGCCTGACACTTTCTAAAGCCTGATCCTTTCTAAGGCCTGATCCTTTCAAAGGTCTGATCCTTTCTAAAGCCTGACCCTTTTTAAGGCCTGACACTTTCTAAAGCCTGATCCTTTCAAAGGCCTGATACTTTCTAAGGCCTGACGCTTTCAAAGGCCTGATCCTTTCTAAAGCCTGACCCTTTCTAAGGCCTGATCCTTTCTAAGGCATGATCCTTTCTAAGGCCTGATACTCCTTAAACACCGATCCTTTCTAAAAACCTTACCATTACAAAGGCCTGGCCCTAATTAACACCTTAGTCCTTGTCCTAAATTCTCACTTTGCAACAAATTGTCCTCAGTTTGCCGGTTAAACAACTAGAGAGCGCCTCACTCAGGAACAAACTCGGGTGTCAGTTTCAGGTCAGAGTACGTTTTCTTTGCTGAATCAGAACATGGAGGAGGAGGAGGAGGAGGAGGAGGAGAGAAAAACAAAAGCTCCTCCCCCCAACTTGCTTTCAGTGACAATAAAGAAATAACACAATTTTCTGGTAGGGAGAATATCAAAAAATGTTCCTGGAGAAACAAACATTCCCCAAAAGGTCTCCATCAGCCTCCTGTCCATGTTGTCATGGCCGTTGTCATGGCCACTGTTACCAAGGAGTTTGCAGGCAATCGGAGAAAGGAAACCTGAGCAGCGAACCTGGACGTTGCCATCTTTAATTCATGGAGGGGATGAGACGTGTTTAATGTGTTTATCAGCAGGTTCTGGTTGATATTTTCAGACAGAACCCCGTTAGAGCCCTCAGTGAAGCTAGCCCAACCCCCCCACCCCTCACCCCCCGAGACGTCTGTCCTTCCATCCATCAATCACATTTATCCATCCGTCCGTCCGTCTGTCCTTGCATCCAAAGGACTCTCTGACCCAGATCCGGACCGCCCTGATCTCTTATTTAAGGCTTTCGGAGAACCCGTCTGACCCATTTGGGCTGGCGTGGGGGAGGAGCAGCTCAGCATTTGAAGTGGCGTTCAAATGCCGCTCTTTGTTCATCAGGAGACACTTCAGTCTGCAGCCGGTTCTTCTCATTAGCAAAGAAGCTGGAAATATTTTCTACAGGAACGCCCCATAGTTGAATTGGGACCCTGAAGCGGGTTTAAAGAGGTTATCCAGAAGGAGAGCGCAGCAGCAACCTGCTTTCACTGGATCCACTCAGAGCAACATCAGAAGCCTGGGATCAGGTTCCGTCGGTAAGTCTACACCAAACCAGGAGACTGACACTGGGGACACCTGCAGGTCCACAGCAGACTGCGCTCAGTTCTGATCAGGTCGGCTGGGCTGATGTCCTGCAGCCTACTGCAGGTTTCTGCTCGGCTCCTCTGGGATGCATGGAGTCCAGGTCAGCAAAGATCATGAGGAGAAAGCAACTCTGATCCTGTGAGGAAAACCTGAGGACCTGAATCCCTGCATTGATATTGGGAAGAAGAATATGGCTGCCAACATGGTCCCATTTGGAGCATAGGAGGAACATCCAGAACCAGAGACCAGTTCACCCAGAGACCAGTTCACCCAGAGACCAGTTCACCCAGAGACCAGTGCAGAACCCTCTGCAGAAGATCCTGCTGTCATGGTGAACACGGGAATGCAGCTGATCAGCTTCACCTGCGCTGTGACTGGCTGGATCATGGCCATCGCTGTCACGGCGCTACCCGCAGTGGAAGGTGTCCGCTTTCATCGGCAGCAACATCCTGACCTCGGAGATAAAGTGGGAGGGCATCTGGATGAACTGCATCTACCAGACCACAGGTCACATGCAGTGCAAGACCTACGACTCAATGCTGGCGCTGCCGCCAGACATCCAGGCTGCACGCGCCCTCATGTGCATTGCCATCTTCATGGGCTGGCTCTCCTGCACAGTGTCCTGCTGCGGCATGAAGTGCACCACCTGTGCCGGCGACGACCGCCGCGCCAAGGCCGGCATAGCGCTTGCAGGTGGAATCCTCTTTATCCTGACAGGCCTGTGCATCCTGATCCCCGTCTCCTGGACCGCCAACACTGTTATCCAAGACTTCCACAACCCCAATGTTCCCATCATGCACAAACGGGAGCTGGGCCAGGCCATCTACCTGGGCTGGGCAGCGGCCGTCATCCTGATGATCAGCGGCGCCGTCCTCAGCAGCACCTGCCCCTTCATGGAGAAGGGCGGCCGCTACCGCCGGGGATACATGGGCCGAAGCTTTGCTAACTCGCCTGCACCCGATCCCCCGAAGCCCATCGCCTCCAACAACCTGCCCCTGAAGGAGTACGTGTAGGACAGGAGGAGGAGCAGGAGGACTGGGAGGAGGGCTGAGAGGAGAACATGGAGGAGGAGTGGACTCCCTGCCATCAGACTGAAGTACTAATGCAGCGGACATATTTGTGTTGAGTTGCTCAGAGTTCTTACTAGCATCCCTGACTTGTTAGCGTGTGCTGTGACGGGTCTGTGGAATAAAGAGTTAATGAAGTTTCTGTTTCCACTAAACTGTTTCTATCCAGTAGCAGATCTGAGGTCAGATGGAGGTCTTTGGTACTGATAACATATCTGCTCCCAGCCTGAACACCAGTCTTCACTGGGACTCCATGAAGAAGGACAGTCTGCAGAGTGTGTCTGGAAGGGAAAAGGAGAGATCAGACCGTCCTGTGGAAGCGCTGCTCACACAAGTACAGTACAGCAGTGGCTCCCAGCCCCGGTCCATAGAGATCCCTGTTCCTCATGGATCTCTGTTCCTCAGAGACCCCTGTTCCTCAGGGATCCCTGTTCCTCATGGATCTCTGTTCCTCAGGGACCCCTGTTCCTCAGGGATCCCTGTTCCTCATGGATCTCTGTTCCTCAGGGATCTCTGTTCCTCAGGGATCCCTGTTCCTCAGGGATCTCTGTTCCTCAGGGATCCCTGTTCCTCATGGATCTCTGTTCCTCAGAGATCTCTGTTCCTCAGGGATCCCTGTTCCTCAGAGATCACTGTTCCTCAGAGACCCCTGTTCCTCAGGGATCCCTGTTCCTCATGGATCTCTGTTCCTCAGGGATCTCTGTTCCTCAGGGATCCCTGTTCCTCATGGATCTCTGTTCCTCAGAGATCTCTGTTCCTCAGGGATCCCTGTTCCTCAGAGATCCCTGTTCCTCAGAGACCCCTGTTCCTCAGGGATCCCTGTTCCTCATGGATCTCTGTTCCTCAGGGATCTCTGTTCCATAGAGATCCCTGTTCCTCATGGATCTCTGTTCCTCAGAGATCACTGTTCCTCAGGGATCCCTGTTCCTCAGAGATCCCTGTTCCTCAGAGACCCCTGTTCCTCAGGGATCCCTGTTCCTCAGGGATCCCTGTTCCTCAGAGATCCCTGTTCCTCAGAGACCCCTGTTCCTAAGGGATCCCTTTTCCTCATGGATCTCTGTTCCTCAGGGATCTCTGTTCCTCAGGGATCCCTGTTCCTCATGGATCTCTGTTCCTCAGAGATCTCTGTTCCTCAGGGATCCCTGTTCCTCAGAGATCCCTGTTCCTCAGAGACCCCTGTTCCTCAGGGATCCCTGTTCCATAGAGATCCCTGTTCCTCATGGATCTCTGTTCCTCAGGGATCCCTGTTCCTCATGGATCTCTGTTCCTCAGGGATCTCTGTTCCTCGGGGGTCCCTGAGGACCTTACGGACCCGGGGGTCCCTGAGGACCAGGGCTGGGAGCCACTGCCGTAGGGGTTAAAATGCCCCCTGGTCCAGTTGCGACTCATAGAACCAGGACTGGACCAGAGTTGTTCTGATGCTACAGATCATCTAATGTGTTCTGCTAAAGTGATGGTCAGCTGATGGCAGATAGTCAGATTACTGCCAGGTCAGTGATGATGTCATAGGTCAATGATGATGTCATCAGCCAGAGCTGGCAGGTTTGTGGTCGTCTCACCTGTGATTCGTTGCTCTGAATCGGGAGATTCCAGAGTTTTCCATCTCTGTGGGAAACCCTCCACCTGTGAGAGATCCTCCAGTCTCAGCGTCTGCAGCAGAATCTTCCTCTGCAAAAATCTGACAGCGAGTTCAGGAAAACCACGGACCCTGTCACCACGGCAACATGTAGCAGCCAACAGGAAGGATACTGCTGCCGGTAGTAACGCTCAGCGTCCTGCAGCCACTCCAACATGTCAGCAGCTGAGGGGACGACAGATGGGCGCCGGCTCAGTGCTGCTAGATCCAAAGTGTCTGCAGCATCTTCGTACAGCAGCAGAACCGCAGACGCCTGGTTGCTGATGGAGTCTCTGACAGACTGCAGATCAGACCTGAAGGAGAAGAAAACAGCGTGTGTTATCCAACAGGGATTCAGCCTGACTGGGTCTCTAACCAATAAAGAGCCTATTTAAAGTCTGCTTTGCTAGCTGCTAACACAAGTCTCTCCTCTTTAGGAGGAATCAGAGCCATGTGGCTAAATCTACAATCCTTCCTCTGATAAATGATCAGGAACCGAACTGAGAAAAATCTAAATACTTTCAGGTGATCCAGAAAAATCTGATCAGAATTATCCAGGTTTCCTTCTTTCTTTTCCAAGAATTTAGAAACGGCGTAGAAAAAGGTTTCAGGACTCGATTTTAATCTATTCTGTTAGAAAATCCAATCATAGCATCAGTGTTTTGTTTTTAATGTGTGTCTGTGAACATCAGTGAGGTTTGAGCTGCTGTCTCTTTAAAGTGTCTTTACTGTCCAATAAGGACAATAAAGACTTGAATGATTATTATCTTAGGATCTCTGAAGGTCACATGGGGGGAGTGATGGCCTAGACCAGGGGTCTTCAATGTTTTACAGGCCAATGACCCCCAAACTTATGGTGAGATGGAGCGGGGACCCCCTAAATATATATTGTATGAAATAATGTTCTATCAAACTGGTCCTATAGTCACTCTATTACAGATGGAGTACTGTAATGAAAGTAATCCCTCCCTGGGATTATTAAAGTATTTCTGATTCCTGGGACAGGTGTTGTGAATGAAACGGTGCCCAGCTTGAAAGAGCTCCTGTGTGTCGTATTGAGATTGGATCCCAGTTTTCTTTTTTTCAAAAGAAATTCCTCTAATTTTTAAACCTGAATGCACCGTTTTTTTTTTTTTCTAATTCAGATTTTATAGAAAAATTTAATTTTAAGTAAAATTAAGTCAAAAATATATAAAATTCCAAAATTATGGAATCCTGGCCCCCATGTACATTTGGTCTAGAACCGCCACTGGCACTGATGACTGAAAGACATCTTCTGCCTCCACTTATCTGTTTACTACAGTGTGTTGAATTCATGTTAATGTGGATTTAAAGACATTTTAATTAGTGGGAAAAATTGCAGGGTGAATATTAAAAAAAAGTCTAATAAACCAAAACTTTCGCGACCCCCATGCAGTACCTCTGGGGACCCCCTAGGGGTCTTGGACCCCCTGTTGAAGACCTCTGGCCTAGAGATTAGAGCTCTCTGGGCACCTCACCATGGCAGCCCACTGCTCCCCAAAGGGAGGGGCTAAATACAGAGAGGGAATTTCTCCACTGTGGTAAATAAGGGAATTAACTTTTTTTTTTTTTTTTTATATCTTCAGGGGATTTTGTTTTCCTGTTTACTTGTTGCCATTACCCAACATGGCCACTATGTGTCAGCAACGTTCTGCCAGTGGGTCTGTGGTGTTCGTGTCCTGAGCTCCACTTACATCCTGCCTCTGAGTCTCTGCAGCAGGAGGTCTGCCTCCTGCACTAACTGGAACCGCAGCCGCTCCTGGAGATCCGGAAACACCCTGAGCGGCGTGTCGGAGAGCCGAACCCGAGCCAGACCTCCCATCTGCTCCCCGAGGTTCCCTAAAGACTCTGCCAGGGAGTCGCACTCCTGCAGGATGCTCCCCCACACCCCCTGCTGCTCCTGCAAAAGGAGGAAGCTCCTCCTGAGCGCCCCCTGCAGGGACATCTGTGCGAACCGCAGTGAGAGGTTACGGTCACTTCACGCGCCCACAGCAACAAACACTAAATGTCACAGATTTGTTCAAATTACCTGAACTTTATTCACGCTCCGTCAGAGTTGAACCTTCATCAAATCCGAGGCTTCTACTTTCCTCCTTCCGACCACCTAAGCTAGCTGCGGCATGCTAAGCTAGCTGCGGCATGCTAAGCTAGCCCGGCTCCTCTGAAGCGTTTCCGGTCTGCTGATGTCAACAAGCAGCGGTGATGCCTTCACGTTGCCCGGAAAAGTGGAAAGTCTGCGATTTAACATCAATTTTTGTTCTTTTCTTATCAAACTTACATTTCTTTATTGTAGTATTTTTTTAAATGAAATGATTTAGGGCTTCAAAATCAACCTGAATTCATTCTAATAAGAGAAAAAACGATACAATAGTTGGCGTTCATAGTTACACACTAATGCAGCATAAGGTTAACCAATAGAGAGAGGCGTTTCTGATCATGCGGGAAAACCGAACGTGTTGATTGGTCAACGTGATGCTTAAGCCCCTCCCACCACTGAGATTTGAAACGCGCATAGAAAGCAGACGGAGGGCGGCAGCGAAGCAGAAGAAACGTTAAAGTTCAGGTAATAATAAGCGGCGCCATGTTTAATAGTTAATGTTTGGATTAGATTTGTTTTTATCTCAGCTGTTGATCGATAATGAGTCTCAAACAGCACAGCTGCTGCCGTTAAATCCTCCATATTGGCCCCTGTGCTGCAGACATTTGGCCCCTGAGCTGCAGACATGGCTCCCACCAAGAGAACCACCAAGCTGCAGAGCAACAACCCGAAGAAAGCCAAGCTGGAGGCTTTTCTGGACGACTTTGACAGCGATGGTAGGTTTCCAGTTCAAGAAGCTAAACTAGGAAATGCATGTAGATAATCGATCCTAGATCAGAGAAGATTGAACATGTTTTTTAATTCCTTCTACCTGTTAGTCAGAAAGTTATAGCAGCAGATTTTCCTCCTCAGGGAAAAATTAAAGATCATGTTGTTTTTAAAAAACTAACCTGGTTCTCAGATTAACCAGAATCCTGTCTGTTATGCAGCAGCTCTAATATTTTTGTCTTTCTGCTCATTTTCCATCATATTTCCTTAATGATGATTAAAGGTGGAAAAACATTTTTAATCAGTTTTAATTTACAGAGTGAAATTAATTAATTGCTTTTTAACTGGAAACCAGATTTGACTAAATGATCAATAAAATCCTTTTAGAGTTAAACTGTTGACTAAAGGAACAGATGAGAACAGAATCATATATTAATTGTTTTTATGCGTTATTTAGGTTTTTATTGTGTAGTTTTGTTTAAAACTCAGATATTTTCTGATGTTTCTTCCAAACCTGCTTCTATAGAAGCCTGAACGTCAATTATGACATTTTATTTTTCACTGAATTTACTAAAGATTAGAAAGCAGCAAAGAATAAAATACTGCCTTTAATATTTGCTGTAAACAAGTTAGTTTTATTTCTACAACTGACAGCAGATCTATGACTGTAGATCTGTGCTTTAAGCTTTGCCTTTAGAACATCAGTTATTCAACATGTTGCATTTAATGCAATTAAACAGCAGTTATGGAAACAAACCATCCGAGCGTGTTGTTCAGACTCCCTACGGTGGCCCTGAAGGCTCATCTGGGCTGATGTGGGAACGTCTGAGCTGCTGCAGCCTGAATCGTCCCAGTGGACCTGAGCTGGTGATGCTGGTTGTGCTTCAGTTTTTCAGGTGATGGAGGAACAGCGAGGACGCAGGTTCCCCGCTCAGACCTTTACCATTAAAAACTGCCATCATTTTAACCATTTTAACGTGACGCCACGGCTTCTTTAAGGGATGAACTACAGCTGAGCCGCTTCCTCTGCTCCATCCTGCTCTTCCTGCTCACATGCAGCTAAATGCAGGAGAAAAGTAGCGCTGGTTTATCGGAGCGGGTGGGCGGAGCCGCGGTTTTTCTGACGCTTCTGTTTTTGCAGTGAAGACCCGGCTGGTCCAGATGAAGGAGAAACTCATCCAGCAGCTGAAGGACGTGGACAACAGCTACAACGTTGATCTGCTGAAGCTGCCCAAGGCGGTGAGGAAGATGCCGTGGATGGAGTTCTACAGTAAGTCCCGCCCACCTGAAGATGCTCCGTTTGAAGGACAGATGTAGAAATGTTAGCGGCGACTAGAACTGCTTCCCTTTTAGACCAATGGGCTTTTCTGTTTCTGTCAGCTGACCTGGACAACCTGAAGGATCCAGAGGTAGATGATGCCAAGGTGAGCATGTTCTTCATCTCTGCTTCTGGGCTGAATGTCTGGCTGCGTGTTCACCTGCAGCCGTGTCTCCTGAGCAGAGTGAAGAGGAGACAGCCACCATGGAGAACGTTCTGGAAAAGGCCACCGCCGTCCTCAAATCGGTGAAAAAAAGTCAGTCCACCAGCTCTGAGGTTCTGACCTGCTGATAAGTTCTACTGCTGACCCTGTTCTGGTTCCACCTGCAGCCTCCAGGAAGAAAGGCGGCGCCAAGTCCAGCACTGATGATGAGAACATTCTGAGCTCCTCCAGGAAGGTATGCAGAGAATCGGCAGGAAGCGGCGGCCTTTAAATGAACTGAGCGCCATTAACCCTTTCCTGTTTGGATCCAGGGCCGAGGAGCCAGAAAACCTCCGTCTACAGCAAAGAGGACCAAAGCTGCGACCATCAGCAAACAGAGCACCACCATCAGAAGGTGAGCGCGGCGGAGGCTCCTCCCCTCCCCAGACGTCGCCTCTCAGAGCCACTGACCCTCCGTCTGTTTTCAGATCCAGCAGGAAACCTCTGGTGACGCCCGCCAGGAACCTACTGGACTCGTCTCTCTTGATGGGACCGACTCCTCTCATCACGCCACGCTTCGACCCCAGGTAAGGCTCACCTGGACAGGAAGTAGTCTGCTGTCTTCAGGCTGCCAACCTCTTTGCGTCTGTATCCTCAGACTCCCAAAGACCCCCGCCATCAGAGTCCCCCGCCACAAAGAGAGGGTCTACAGCATCTCTGTGAATGGCTCCCCCATCGCCGCAGGAAGCCAGGACATCATCATCAACGTCCCAGTGGGGAACGGAGAGGTGGGGGTCGACCAATCGGCAGAAAGTCTGTTTATAAATCAATGAGTTTAGTGAACGGAGCCTAAAGCATGGCAGCAGCTGGAGGGGGCGGAGCCTGTCTGTGTTGTTTCCCCCAGAAAATGTAGAAATTTACTTCCTGCAGGTGGAGGTAGCATGCAGCTAACTTTAGTCTTTGTTCCATCACTACTTCAGTCCTGATGATGGAAGGAGGTGAGCTGGACCAGAGGTGGACATTTGATCATGAAGACATGAGATCATTTTAGGTTCATGATGTTTCATCCTTTAATTCAACCAATCAGAGAGTCTGATGCTACATTCACATCAAACGCCATCAGAGAAGCTTCTGCTGCTTCATCTCTGATCCTCATTAATGTCAGACGTCCAGTAAAGTGAGTCCAGATGCTTCTGCTGCTCCTGTGTTCGATGCCAGAGAGCAGCTTTGCTATATTAGCTGTGATCAGCGGGTAGAAAGTAGTTAGAATCTATGTTGAAGTGAGAAAGTCCTCCTGAAAACATGGTCTGTGCAGTCAGTTCATCCAGATTACCATCCTGCCTTCAAAGATTATTTCTCTGTGGGAGCCGCTCAGACCCCCACATACCGGCGCTGCGCTGTCACTGGGAATCCCCAGCAGCAGCTGCCTCAGGCCCGCTCGCCTCTCCAGGGTTTTCCCCTCCTGTTGGTGGCGGCTGGAAGTAGATGTTAGCGTTTTTCAGGTCTGTGCTACAAACTGCAGGCAGCAGGATAATAAAAGCCAACATATTCTGCCGGCAGGTTTCTACATTTGAAGTTAATTTAGGCGTTAATAAACTGTTTCAGAGGAGTGATCATAGCGCTCTGCATCAGCAGTGCTGCGTCTGACTCCCTGCCAGCTCCCAGATCAGCTTCTCTCATTGGTTGATGTCCAGCAGCTAAAACTCCTGCAGCTGCTGCTTGTGAAATTTTTCACAATTCAGCAAAGTTTCTGAGGCAAAGTCAGGATCTACAATTTGTAATTTCTCATAAAAGGCAGTTGGCATTGCTAGCTAACAGCATGTTCACCACTGCTGCCAACCCTCTTCCTTTAGGTTTCCCAGTCTGTAAATCGTCCTGCAGCCCTGTTTCAGTTAAAGGAATAGTACACCCAAAACATGATTAGCCTTCATTTTCTACTCACCCCCATGCTGAACAACACTCTGGAGTACTTTTTTGATATCTCAAATGCATCTGGAGATCTGGGAGGCTTCTTGCTGTCTGCTGACATTCAAATAATGGAGGTCTATGGCGCCCGAGGCAGAAAGGTCCATAAAAGTCCACAAAAAACGTGTCAATATTCCTCCATACTGCTCGTCCAATGTATTCCAAGTGTCCTGAGTGGGTAGCGTCCAGAATTTACTCGAAACTAAGTCATTTAGAATGTTTTTAGAGCATAAACAGTAGTGTATAGGATTTCCTAAAAGCGCATTCACGAGTCTACGGAAACCGCGGCAGACCAAACCAGATGAAAGTGCGCATTCAGCGTCTGCTCTGCCAATAATGCAAGCGTAGAAGAAGAAATGTGCTGTTTACCTGTGCAAAGAAAGAAACAACGAAAGAAAAATGTCTGAGGACTTCAGTGTTGAGGAAGAGCATGAGTTCTTTGCCGAGCTGAATGCGCTGGTTTGGTCTGCCGGCTTCCGTAGACTCGTGAACGCGCTTTCAGGAAATCCTATACACTACTGTTTATGCTCTAAAAACATTCTAAATGACTTCGTTTCGAGTTAATTCTGGATGCTACCCACTCAGGACACTTGGAATACATTGGACGAGCAGTATGGAGGAATATTGACACGTTTTTTGTGGACTTTTATGGACCTTTTTGCCTCGGGCGCCATAGACCTCCATTATTTGAATGTCAGCAGACAGCAAGAAGCCTCCCAGATCTCCAGATGCATTTGAGATATCAAAAAAGTACTCCAGAGTGTTGTTCAGCATGGGGGTGAGTAGAAAATGAAGGCTAATCATGTTTTGGGTGTACTATTCCTTTAAACCCAGTCATTGCTGCGTTGCTGATAATCACTCATAGTGATGGATGGAGGAGACGCCCTAACCGCTCTAAGACATAACACGACCCGCTGGGTGTTATGTGGGGTAATAACTCAGAATGCATCCAATTCCACAGGTACATTTTCTTCCACTATAGACGTGTTAGAAGTCATTGGAAAGCTTAGATTCTCCACAATTCAACCATCAAGATCATTTTATGGACACAGTGAGCATTAAAGCACAATTAACACAGATGTAAACAAAATGTAAACAAACAAAGCTACATCCCTTTGAAGGCGTCCAGAAGCCATTTTATAAATCCAGTCTTTATTGTTTATACTCCATTCTTCCATAAACATCCGCAGATTAACATGAATCACATTAGTAATAAGAATATTCCATGATTCAAAATCGCCCATAATGTCCGGTTGTTGACATCAACAAAGTTAGCTGGTCATAGCTTATTCTCAGCATCTTGCTAATATTTATTTCTAATACTTATTTCCTCGGTCGTTAGCCGCCATGTTTGGTCTGGATCTTTACGTCGTCTTCATATCTACAAGACACACGTGTCTGTATATTTTTATGATGCGATTTGAGCGAGATAGTCCCTGATATCTGACTTCCTGTTAGCCAGTGACGCGTGATATGACACGTTATTATTCTCTGCTGGTATTGGTTCAGACCATGTGGGCTGTTGGGCTTTCTAGCCAATGAAATAAGGTTTCCAATGAGCCCAAATGTGTGTAGTTTATTTAAAGGGGAACTGCATTACAGGCTTGTTAGGAACACAGCCACCAGCAGGTGGCAGCGCGTCGCTCCAAACCACAGCCCTGGGATTTTTGTAGCTAGAGGTCTGAAATTTTCTGGATTTGTGGATCACATGATGTAGAACAAAGTTAATACAATAAGACCTGCCTTTTCTCAATCATGTCTTTATTACTGCTCTTCAAAAAAGACTCATTTTCAAGAATAAAACAAAACAACTTTGAGTCATGTTAGAACTGATGCAGCTCAGTCTGTGTTCTACTCACCCAGTTTGAATTTCTATATTCAGAAACCAGAGGGTGTTAGCTTTCTGTTGCTCATGTAATCTGGGCTTATAGTTCCTAAGTTATTTGGTTATGCAGAATAGGCCAGACTTTCCCAGAAGGAGGTGGGTTTGAAGAGGCTAGAATTCCTGTTCCTCCATTTTCTCCTTGCTCCTGCTCTGCATCCCCTGCGCCTCCTTTCCTACTCAGCTGGAACTTGTAGAAGTAGTTTGAAGTCATTTTGAATGAGATGTTCTGATCTGACCTCTGACCCTGCAGAGCGTCCAGCTGCTGGCCAGTGAGATGGACTCTGTGGACCTCAGTCTTCTGGACGAGACGGCCTTGAGGAGCATCCGGCTGCTGCAGGTGGGTCCGCTTTCTGTCCCCGTCTGTCCGCAGCGCCTCTCCGCCCCTTTAAGCTTTTTCTTCTTCTGTGTTTCGTACAGAACCGCCTGACTGCGCTCTGCGGCTCTTCGGAGTGACGAAGCCAGATGTTACTAGAGAACCTGCTGTGGCGACCAGGACGGAACAGAACCAAGCTGGTTATTCCCAGAACCTGAACCCGTGGGCCTGGATCGCCGTCTCAGCGGCTTCTGTCCTTTTTTATTTTTTTTTACGAACTTTAAGTTTATTCTGATCTTGGAACTTTTGTCTACAGAACTTCTTTGTCTTTGTTGAAACCAGATTGTTCTTGTTGTCTGAATAAATCCAGCGTGGTTCTGTCAGGTTCGACCCGTTGTTCCTCATCATGTTCTGTTGTGAGGAAAGTGGAACCCAGAACTCTGGAGATCCACTCAGACCTTTAGTTTAGCTGAAGTTAAACATTCAGAACCTCTGGAAAAGTTCTGCACCAGCGGAGTAGAAACCTCCTCGATGTCGTTCTGTTCAACATTCATTATTGCTCCTGATGTTTCTGTTCTTCAACTGAAATCCCAGGATTCAGTTTGTCGGAACTTCAGACGGTATAGTGACCCAATCAGAACCGGGGGCGGAGCTTCCATACGATCCGCTGCTCCGCTCGGCTACCTTCCTGTCAAAATTTACGACCTTCCAGTGGAAAAGCTGATTTATTTGAACATTTTTTACACGGCAGCAAAAGAATATAAAACATCAACTATGACGAATCAAAAGTTTAAAGTGTTTTATTGCTGCAGCATCAAGGTTGAACTACTTTAAATTCTTTCAATCACCTCCTGTCCTGTCCTATTTTTCACCTGGGCCAGGTGCGGCGGCGTCTCCGTGCGGCGGCGTCTCCGTGCTGAGTTCGTGCTGTCTGGTTAGTCTGAATCATCAGCGACGGGAACATGATGTCATCCAGCAAGCTGGAAACATCTGGTATCCATGGTTACTGGCTTTCTGGAATGAGGCGGTCCTCAGACAGAACTCTGGTTCTGGGTTACAGGCCTCTGAGGACCTGGAAGCGTTTATCCTCCATCATTCTAAGCATTAGCTTTCTACTGGCTACGTAAATGGAGTCTGGAGAACCCCGTTTCTGTCAGATCTGGTTCTGGGCGGTTCTTGGATGGAAGTCCATCATGGACCCGGTCGGCCTGAGGAGTTCTGGAGGACTGCAGCTGCGTCGTTGCTCCTGTGTCCCCGCCCCGCTCTCAGTGACGGCCCGTCAATTATCAGACCACTGCTGGTGTTGCCATGGTTACTGAAGCAGCTAGTCTGGGGGGTACCGAGTCCTGTTTGACATCTGCTTTTCAAAAACCCGGTTCTGAATGACGCCAAAGGTCAAACTTATCGAAGGGTCATAGAATGCAGGGTTTCCATTGTCATGGATGAATAACGATGCTTCAGTTTGTGAAATCGACGCAAATCTCACTATTCTAAACTTCCACCATAAAACGTATGAATCCAAACGAAGCAATGAGTTGACGTAAACTTGGGGATGTTGCCTTATTTGGTTCTGGGCTGGACTTTTGTCACGCGCTGAAATTGACATCCAGACCAGCCCACTGGTTCACGGCCCAGGAACATGAATAATGTCGATGGAAGACACCAGTTTGCTGTTTATTCTACAGTTTGGTTCTACAAGAATTACAGAGCAGGAAGTTTCTCTATTGAAGATGAACCAGAGGAGGAAATGCATCGTTCCAGGCTGACCGGAGAAAAGGGAACATTTTCAGTCTTCCCAAGGGTCCAAAGACTCGACAGGCATTGATTATTTCTGTCAATCAGAAGATCCCTGCAGAGTTTGATGCTCAGATGTTCATTTTACTGAAGACAGCTTTCAGAACCTTGGACAGTTTAAAGCAGGATTTGCTAAACTTGTTTTCCTGAAACGAGGGAGGGGCTGTTCCACCGTACGGCCGTCACAACTAGGCTTGTCCCGATCCGATCCACGTATCGGATCGGGACGCCGATATTGGCAAAAAAATGCGTATCGGCAAAGCATGTAAAATGCCGATCCAGACTGCCGATTCAGTTTTTAAAAAAAAATCCGGTCCGTATTTTCCAGTTTCGCCGATTGAAACAATCCATTCCACTATTTTGCGCCAGTGTTCCCCTGTTTTGCATTTTTATTAAAACTTACAGTAATACTTGCACCTTTAACTGTTTACGGTTTTACTGTTCACTGTGCAACTTCAGATTGCTATTCATAATTTTGTCCAGTTTGTGTTGATCTCTTAATAAACAGGTAAGTTTGTTGTTACCAATCATTGTGTTTTATTCAATCTCACCTAATTTAGCTGGCTAGATGTTATCAAGAGTACTAAAACCCTTTTCAACATGAGTCTTACAACTAAGGCTAAATACTTTAACTTAAACTTAAATACATGCTCGGATAGGCTGGTATCGGCCAGTATCGGTATCGGATCGGAAGTCCAAAAACAATATCGGTATCGGATCGGAAGTGCAAAAACCTGGATCGGGACATCTCTAGTCACAACCGCAGCTGGGAGGATGATTCTGTCGCTAAGCTGTTAATAGCAATGCTAGCAGATCTATGGTGACCAGGTTTGGGTTTCTGAAAGGGGGCTGGGCTGCTGACTGGACCGGACCGGGCATTCAAACCAGTAAGGATTGACGGATGCAGCAGGGGGCCACAGCCACCGGGTCGGGTTCGGTCCCTCCATCCCCGCTGGCTCCCAGCCCCCCGCCCCCCTCCGCTGGCGTTCCCGTTGCTGACGGCTCAGTTCTGCTGCGCTGTAGGCGACCAAAATCCCGGACGATTTTCAAATTCCACCCGGACATTTTTTTTAGGTATGAAAGTAGGACTGAGTCTTTGCTCAGCAGCTTGGCTCGTTGTAAACCGACCAATCAGAGCACAGCTCATCTAAATATTCATGATCAAACCATAAAAGGAAGAAAAGCTGTGGTTTGCTTTTAACCAGGCTGCATTAGGGCTCATAGAACAGCTAATTGGCTATTTTCAGACCAACCAATGTTACCCTATCAGAGACCTGAAGGACCAGATTCATCATTCTATCACCCCTTTAATCCATCCATCTTCCCTCACGGGGGGTGGGCGGTGCAGGCGCCTATCTCCATCTGAGGGGGAGAAACTTATTAAAGTTACCATTTTTTAGATTAAAATTAGGGACAGTTGCTACATTTGATTGATGCTTTTTAGCCTCATGTTTCTGCTTCATGTTCAGCTTCTACATGTTAGAGTTTAACCCAACATGAGGGGGGCTGGTGTTTAGCAGCTGGTTAGGGATTCACACTAAATGTCAATCAGGCTGCAGTTCAGCCTGTGAGCAGCAGATGGCAGCATGTGACCATGTCTGATGGAGTCTAGTCCAGAGATCAGGGTTAGAGCACATGTTCAATAAATTTAAGTCAGAAAAACCAGCTTGTTCTGATTTTAAATTTATCAATAATTATAAGTTTCTGTTTATTTCAAAAGGTCAACGTTCTGCTAACATTTGTGTTTTCCTTCTGGAATGCTGGAAAACTAACCTTTGCATTTGGCTTTTGATTCAAAGGCTCAAAGCTTCACTAATGTTCATTTGAAACACTAAAATAAACCTTTAATTTAATTCTTATTTCAGTTTAAAATGAGTTTATAGTTATCAGAGCGTTTGCTTCTGGGAGCCACTGCAGAATTCTGCTCTGGATAAAAAGGATGATTCTTAAGGTTTGAGGTTATTGATTACCTTTTCTAAGTCATGATCAGCAGAACATTGAGGTCCAAATAGTGCAGAACCGAGTCCTGCAGCCATTGATGATGGGTCCAGTTCCAACATGCCGAGAGTTCAGCCTCTTAGAGGAGCTGGAAGCTCCAGTTTCTGTCAAACCCAGAAGAATCTGAGCTGTTTTGGGCCATTGTGCGGCGCCCGGGGAGCAGCGGGCTGCCATTGTGCGGCGCCCGGGGAGCAGCGGGCTGCCATTGTGCGGCGCCCGGGGAGCAGCAGGCTGCCATTGTGCGGCGCCCGGGGAGCAGCGTGGGGTTAAGGGTCTTGCTCAGGGACCCAGAGTGCAGCTGTGAGGATCCAACCGGGTACTGCATCCTTCTCAGAGCACAGAGCGCTGCTCTAACCACTTGGCCATCACTCCCCATATAATTATTCACATTATATTCCAACTCTTGGAAAAGTCGGAGGCAGATCTTCACGGTTCTGCAAATCTGACCTAAAAGTCTTGTTGCATCCAGGGATTTACGGACAGCAGCAGCCTGATGCTGGATAGATGTTTTCTTAACTTTCTGCTTCTGAATGCAGACAAAACAGAAGTTATAGTCTTTGGACCAGAGTCTCTGAAAAAGAAGCTGATTAGTCAGTCACTTCATTTGGATTAAACTGATTTCAGATAATAAAGTAAAAAATCTTGGTGTTGTTTTTGATCAGGACCTGTCATTTAAATCCCAGATCAAAGAGGTTTCTAGAATTTCCTTCTTTCATCTGAGGAATATTGCTAAAATGAGCAATCTCCTGTCCAGGGGTGATGCTGAGAAACTAGTCCATGCATTTGTTACTTCAAGGCTGGACTATTGTAATTCTTTACTATCAGGAAGTCCACAAACTGTAGTTAAAAGCCTTCAGCTGATCTAAAATGCTGCAGCCAGAGTTCTAATGAAAATGAAAAAGAGAGATCATATCTCTCCTATCCTGGCTTCTCTTCATTGGCTTCCTGTTAAATCCAGAATAGAATTTAAAAGAAGAGTCAATGAGTCGATGCAATCAGCTGGTTTTCCTTAGATAGAAAACTTTGAATCAATCTGACTGGATGATCTGGTTGATCTGGATCTATAAAGTGACCTGAGATGTGAATTGGCGCTATAGAAATAAACTGAATAGATTTGCTGTTCCTGAGCTCTGAGGAGCAGAACTTCTGTTTCTCTCATTTTCTTTTCGATATTCAGTTTACTGCTGAATGTTCTGATCAAATAAATATTTAATGGTCTGTACTTATTCGGCTCTCAGTCCCACACTGATGGTGGCAAACTACCAGCCACAGCTGCCCTGGCGCTGCCTGACAGAAACCAGGCTGCCGGGCCTTGAACCAGCAACCTTCCGATTGCAGGGCGAAGTAGACGCCACTAAAGTTAAGGCAGGTTATTGAAGCTGATGAAGAACTGGGTGAGATGAGGAAGATCTGGTTTGGACTTCAGGCCTCTCCTTTGTCCAAGTTCTTTCTGAAGTTCTCTGTTGTGGATTTTTAGGTTTAGACTCCCTGATTCTGGAGGTTAACCTCCCACCCTCCCCCCCTCCATGCAGAAACAGGAAGCAGCTCTGGGCTCATTCATTCCCTCCATCAGAGAGAAGCCATCATAGAA